ATGGTAAGTTGTAACGTTCCAGGGCCACAGATGGGCCCTTTCAGGTACAAAGCTTTTCTTGGCTCCTTGAAATAAAGGTTAAGTAGAACATATTTTAGAGTGCCTTAAATTCCATTACATCTGAAGTAGAAATACAGGTGAAACAAATCTGCTAACGGTGCTTTGGGGAATATGAGTTAGTACAGAAATGTTGACTATTCATGTTACCATACTTCGATTAAATGGCTGATATAGGCAGTTGTCTGGCAAAATTCTTTTCATTCTCTTTCTTGGTAATTCACTTTAACAGATGAATGGTTTCACTATTGCAGTGCATTTTGCTTATGAGTGCTGAAAAATAACTGAAGCAGATGTCGCTAATTGTTCCTAAGTAACCCTATACAGTCATGAGCCGCATAAGGACATTTTGGTCAACAGTGGACCACATATACAACGGTGATCCCATAAGATTAGTACCACAAAGCCTAGGGGTGTAGTAGGCTATACCATCTAGATTTATGTCAGTCCACTCTATGATGTTCACACAACGACGAAACTAACTACATGTTTCTCAGAACGTAGCCCCTGTTAAGCATAACTGTACTCCTTATGGTTTCTAGACTTCAGGGTTTGTTTTTATGTTTCTTTATTTTTTACCCAAAAAAATCCCATTAAATTTAGACCTTTTGAAAACATTTAGATCAGTTCCTCTGATTGGGTTACATTTACATGCCAGAACCCTCTAAAAAGGATCTGTGGCAAACCAATTACTGTGCTACCTTCCGCACAACTCTAGGAAGCTCTGGAAACACTTGGGTTTTGCAGAAATAAAATGGAACTTTTTAGTGCTTGATACTCTTAAAATGAGACTGAGAAAATATTTTATACATAAAAGAAAAATACATTCAAGTAGAATCAAATAAAAGTAGACAATTCTTTTCTTATACCTTAAAATTAAAACAATTCCAGATGATAGGGAAAAGTCCTATATTAACATCATTATGCTAATTATAAACATGAATTTTAGAGCCATTTCTATCAAGCCTTTAGATTTTAACAGCACATTGATATATTTTATTTCAAGTTACATAGTACTTAAAACTGTAATACTATTTGCTTTCGAGTTTTGGTTATCACGTGTTACTTTTATACTGCAAGAGTACTTCCTGCATCTAAAAAAGCCACTATGAAAATATTTTTTTTATTTTGGGGGAGGGTGGTATTCCCAAAAGGATAGCTGAATATTTTTGCCAGTGATGAGCCAAGATCTTGGGATTAGATTTAGTGATTGACTTAATGAATAGAATTTCAAAGAAAAGTTTTTTGTATATTAATACCTAGGTATTGCAGTTAGAAATCAAAATGAATAAATCTTTTTATTCAAATGTTAGTGTATATGGCAACTATGAGTTTGTTTAAATGAAAAATGCTTTTATACACAAAGGTACTTTTCTGCCCAGAGTCTTAAATTACTATTAATTAAGCACTGTATAACATAATAGATAATTATAGTGTTTTAATGTGGATGCCAGTGGATTTGCTAGTCTTTCTAAATGGCTGTTGTTGGCTAATAGTCTTCAGGGGATCATTTATATAGCCATTGTGGTTCTAAAAATATCTCTAAATACCAATGGGACAGACTTTTTTGAAGCATAGCTATTATAAAATGCACTTTTATTTGAAGTGTGTCATTTTGACTATATCACTCAATTACTTTCATGTGCAGCAAAAAAAAATACCAATGCTGAAAAAAAAAAGGAAAACTCTTTATCTAGAGAAAATGTTCAGAATAGTATGGTGTTAAATAGAAAAAGATTTGAGTTAGGAGTATTGGGATTCTCTTCTATTCATTAGAATTTTTAGCTATTCTATTCATTAGGATTTTAACTAAAGATGTTTTTATGTAGCTTCATTGTTTTTATTTTAATTAATATTTCTTAGAGAGATAATTAGGTAAATGCTGTTGAATATTAAATGTGGTAGTAGCTTGGAGGAAAATAAGCATTTCGGGGTCAAAGCCCTTAACAAAATATTGTCATATGAGCTAATTAATTGAATTGAATGCCAAATGGTTTTGCCATCATCCAGCCACTCTCATAGTCACTCAGTTCATTATCTAAGGCTGTTCCGGGACGGAATGACTGGTTATGTCAAAGTTACTAATGGAGTAAATCTTGATTAGAGCGTAGTTCCAACCTCATTAAATTAACTAAGTGTAAGAACATCCCGAAGAGTCTGAACCTGTGTATCACATCAAGCATTTTAAATGCTAAATGTGTGAGGTTCTCAGGGCTGTCCCCCAGTGGTGACATTCTGTATATTGTCTGATCTACAAGGGCCCCTTGAAAACCCTAAAACAGATTCTAGGCTACTCTGTGGTCCTTGCTGCCTATATCTAACATTGAATACAAAAAAGACTCCATTTCTGATCAGACCAGAGAAGTTGAGGATTTTCATCAACCACATTTAGTATAGAGAAATATGAGAATTTGTGAACATTGCTGTTCAGTAGCGTCCCAGAGTGACAGTTTTCAAATTGTATTGTAAAATATCCTGAGCATTCAGGCATTATGCTATTGTTTGATGCTAATTTAAACTATTTTTAAATCTGTAATAAAAGACACACAAAGTTTCAAATATGTATTCCAAATTTTTCATGCGGTTGACTGGTGATTAACTTGTGCTGCCAGGTTAACTGGTTTCGGGGCAGATCTTAGAATAAAGCTTCACCTGCCTTTTTGTGCAAGTGTTTGAAACTGCATATAATCTTTGCAATCAATTTGGAAATTATATTGGAGGTCAGAGTTTACCTGTAACTTTTGTAAACAGGGACTCTAGTAGAGAGCGCCTAGCTCGTCTGTGAATGCAGGCTATGCTTGTCCACTCACGTTAAATTGTCCAACCCACCGCATTCCCACAGTTTTCTTGTACTGGACTTAGTTTACGCCCAGCAAGTCCCAGACACTTCTGTTTGAGAACTTGCTTTTGCCATAGAGTCATTCTAAGTTAGACCAGTGACTGTTGGCATATTGCAGTGTGATACAATATTCTAAGTTAGGCTTATTTTACATTTTAGGTGCCAGTTGTCAAATTTATTTTTTTAATAAGGAATGCTCTTATCATAAATAAATATCTTTTTAAAAAATTCCCTTAATACTCTTCATTAACACCTCTGATTTATTTTAATTAAGAATATCTTGGAGCCAGCCCCTTGGCCAAGTAGTTGGGTTCATGGGCTCCACTTTGGTGGCCCAGGATTTCATGGGTTCGGATCCTAGACGTGGACATGGCGCTGCTTGTCGGGCCATGCTGGGGTGGTGTCCTGCATAGCACGTCTGGAGGGACCTGCAGCTGGAGTATGCAACTATGTACTGGGGGGCTTCAGGGAAAAGAAGAAGAAAAAAGATTGGCAACAGATGTTAGCTCAGGTGCCAATCTCTCAAAGAAAAAAAGAATATCTTGCAATTAGAAAGCAAGCTTTTTTTTTTTTTATTATTTTTAAACAATACGATTTACAACCACTTCCCTGTGTGGATCAGGATTATCTTGATGTTCTGCAACCAAACAAAATATAGAAATAAAGTAACCATTGCAGCTGATAATAGGACTGTAGATGTCATTCACAACTTTTATATCAGAGTTTTGTATTCATAAACATAGCCTTGTTGTTTCTCATTGATCAGCTTTTAAAGTAAATGTTACTGGTTATTTCTAAAAATTCTGGAGCTTTTCCAGTCTTCAACATTGAGCTGTCATGCTCTGCACTGGGTAATTCTGTCTACTTACACATTTTTAGGATGTAGATCTTAGCATAAATCCTATTGAGTATACAAGCTCATTATTCTTACAATTTATTACTGTTTCAAATAACTAAAAGCTTGATGTCCAGAATGTAAAAGATACAAAAATTAAATCATATAGTAAAATGAATTTTAAGTTAAGGAGATTAGATGAAGACTATTATGGCAAAAGCTCCATTTTGCATTCTGCTTATAATCTTTTCTATCAGTTTGGAATTATATTGGTGGTCAGAGTTTGCCTGTTTAGCAGGTCCATATTACATGTAAGCTAGACTTTTCCAACAATGCTCAAGATAAAGAGGCAGTAAAAATGGAACCTGTTTTTGTTGAAGAGGTGGAAAAGGAATTAGGAAGGAACATGTTGTGATTCATTGTACCTGCTCTCCATTTTTAACTGGACTCAGCTCTGTTTCTCTTCACAGCATTAAGAAAAGCACTCACCACTTTCCCAACTTCTTACAGTTGCGTTTGAGAGATAAAGTTGAATGGCCTTGGAACCTGTTCTGTGTCCTCTGGGTTTGATTATCCATTCTTCTTGCCCTAGACTTAGGTAAATAGCTTTAGAAAGCCTTAATTTATTAGAACATGCAGGCTTCATTCCCTGTAGGACTGGAGTATGTACCTGAAAAATCTTCTAAAATTTATTTTTAAAAGCACATTATTTATGCGGTATAATGTCTTTACCCACAAATAGAAATAATGTTTTAGAAGAAAAAAAAAAAGATGACAAAAGTTGTATATTTAGAGAACCTTACAACAAAAAAATCTCCTTGCTTGAAGCATTCTGTGTAAGGAGTTTTAAAAAATCTTAACTTTAATAAATAATGTAGGGACTGGCCCCTTGGCCGAGTGGTTAAGTTCACACACTCCGCTGCAGGCGGCCCAGTGTTGCGTTGGTTCGAATCCTGGGCGCAGACATGGCACTGCTCATCAAACCACGCTGAGGCAGCATCCCACATGCCACAACTAGAAGGACCCACAATGAAGAATATACAACTATGTGCTGGGGGGCTTTGGGAGAAAAAGGAAAAAAATAAAATCTTTACAAAAAATAAAAAATAAATAATGTATTTTGTGGTTAAAATTCTCCTATTCAAACCCCTCCCACTACCACTCCCATTTATCATCTTTCTGTTGTGCACACTGTTCTGGGCCTGGATGAGCAGTTGCCTTTCTTATTACCGCTTTGCTTACCTTTTGTTTGTTTCTCTTCCTTTGCAGAGACCCTCCTTGATGACTTCCTTCTCACGTACACTGTCTTCATGACGACTGATGACTTGTGCCAGGCGCTGTTAAGGCAATATCCTTCATTAACTTCAGGATGCTGTGTCGGCTTTTTCTCTGACAGATGTCTCACATTAGGAATTAACTGCCTTTCTTAATTTACTCAACCCACAGTAGAGTGTGGATATGTTAAATATTAATGTAATGATATCCAAGGTAAAAGATGAAATGAGACAGAATAGACAGGGGGAAGTAGAAATGCAGAGCTGCTGTTTTCACATTCTACATTGCGGGTAAATTGTACTATTTATATTATATCTTCAAACCTATGTCTCAAGTCTTTAGAAACCTGGAGGGAAATTCGGCCTACTGAATAAACCCCAGAATCGAGAGGTAGAGTGGATTGGCAATCAGTGAACTTATGAGACAAGCAGTCAGTTAGTGCTGTACCACTTGTGTGTGAAAATGTACATATGTGCTGTCATGTTTCTGGGCAAATGTCCCAGGGGACAAGCCATTCCCCACATATGGGAGGTCTAACTACCCCATGTAATCAAATGTCATCTTTTCAGAGCTTTGTCCCAGCTCTCTTAGAATGATGGATGTGATTAAAAGGTTAATGACCAGTTAAGGAAGTGTTAGGATTTTATCCACTAACTAGAAGAGATGCAACATAGACACATTGAAAGGCCAAAAAGCCAAGCCAAGTAAGTAAACTCAGAGTCTGCAAATGGGCTTCTTACCTCACAGTGTTTAAGGAAGCAGCTTCAGAAGCATTTAAGTAGCCGGTTAACTGTTAGGTTTTTATTAAACCCAACTAAAGGTTCCACTAGAGCCCATATGAAAATTTTTAGGAAGACGGACTTTTTTTTGTATATACTGAAGTTTTATTGAACTCTGATGATAATGGTCTTGGTAATATTCTTTTCCTGTTGGATAATTGTTACATTTCTCCCCACTTGACAGGCCTTTCCTATAAACGAGTACTCTACAACTCCATCAAGGACATAATTGAACTAAAATCTCTCTTGATAAATATGTAAGCTAGAAATGGTGATTACGTTTTAGTCCTTTACTATATTGCATGGCTAAGCCAAGCTAGAGATATTTTGAAACTTTTTAGAACCAGTTCATAAAACTGATCTTGAAACATTATTAGTTATTTTGAATTAAAAAAATTTCAATAAGACAGATTTCTTCCACAGCTTTCAAGTGGGGTGTTACTAAGAAATTTAGTAATAAGTACAAGATTTTCAATTTCTCCTTCTTTAAAAATGTTTTAGAAAAATATCTATGAGTTAATTTTATCTACATTTTAATAATATATTTCCAAAGGAATTACCATCATTAAATAACATAGTTTATTTTACAGCAAATTAGATGCCTTCAAACTATTGTTTTCAAATATGATCCTAATATTATTTGTGATTATTGTTGACTAATTCAATACCTCATAGAATTTCCCTAAAGAATCTCTACAACTTTACTTAGATATAAACATGTTTTGGGGGGGTTTTTTTGCTGAGGAAGATTCACCCTGAAGTAACATCTGTTACCAATCTTCCTCTTTTTGTATATGAGCCACCACCACAGCATGGCCACTGACAGAAAAGTGGTGTAGTTCTACACCCACGCCACCGAGGCGGAGTGCACCAAACTTAACCATGAGGCCACCAGGGCTGGCCCTATAAACATGTTTTGCGTCTTTGATTAAGACATTTTATATGAAAATTTAGTTCTGATTCTTAGCAGCCATTTTACTAAACATCAACACCCATGAAATCCAGAACATTTTAAGCCGGGAGTCTTCCTACATGGCTATTTCTGTATATCTGCAGACTCTGCCTTTTATGAAGTAATACAAACCACAAACAAAACTACAGTATCCATATTTAATCCAAGTATTTTTAGATACATCTTAGTGAAGATACCTTTTCTATCCCGCTACTATCAACTTCTAAGAAGTGGTCCAAGCTATTTTTTGTTGCTTTTTCCCCCATCATTTTTGCACATTATTTATAGATTAGTTGCATTTGTGCTATGTCTGGATATCTTGGATGGATATTTTTATTGCAATAGGATTTAATACCTTTCAGCTTTTAGCATTATAAATAGTATTATTTAAGCTCACAGCCCTAGGTTGGCTAATGTTCAGTGCATTACACTGAGGTTATAACTCACCCAATGCCTTCCCACTGTTCCCCTCTCTCAGCAAAATTTATAAATCAGTAAAATCTAGCATGGGAAAAATGTGAAAGAATGAATATACCCTGATACAGAAAACCAGAATAAAACAACTGCAAGTTTAATCAGTTAATATTTTTAAAAATACAGCTTATAGGATGGAGAACAAGATTAAGCAAATAAATGGTAGTAACTATGGGTGGAGAAGAGAGTTGAAGTTTCAGTCCCTGAAATTGTTTTATCCTGCAGGTCCGTAACTGCAGAACGGATATGCAGCTTTAATAAAAAGCTGCTCTCTTCACTTACACATACTGACCTAAAGAAAGAAGTTGTTAGTATTTCTTAATTTTCCAGATTGTTTTCTTTATATTATTTGAAGCCATTATATTCACAGGAAAAGAAGAAAACATTTGTATAAGTGGAAATAATGTGGAATAAATTTTTATAGTTTGCCTTCTAAGTGAAAAACTGGAAGAAATAGATACTTTAACAGATTCTTTGTGTATTGCTTGGGTTTATTTCATAGGTAGAAATAAAAGAAATCAGATCATCTTAATGTGTTTTCGAAAGTTGAGGAGACAGTGATTGAATTATGTTTTAATATATTTACAAAGCCTGATATAGAATTTATTCCTATTTTGCAATTATATACCAGCATTAAAGAATATAGAATCCTGTCCAACAATACCAAAGCCTACATGTGTTTGGTACCATAGCATTTCCTATTCCTAGTTAGCTCTCAATGTGTCCAGATACTCAGAAATGATCATTTTGGGGACAAAAACACTAAGTCAGTTTGGAAAACACCAAGCTTCTCTCTCATTCCTAGGACTTTAAGCACAATGCCTTTGAGTTTGTAATTTTTGTATAATTTTAACAACATAGTTAACATGTGGTCATTGTATACAAATTAGGAAATTCTTATGAGTATAATTATTATAATTTATAATTATTTATATTTTATTGTTACAAAATAATTCAAGTACTCTGAAATCTCATTACCTTGAGAACCCCGTGTTAACTTTCAATATATATTTTTCCAGGTAATGAAACTATTCACATAAATAAGCATTGTTAATACAAATGGATCATCCTAACATATTCTTTTTTTAACTTGCTTTCTACTCAACAGTATATTGTGCATGTTCTATATCAGTAAATATACTGCTGGACCATCATTTTTATGGCTGCCGAATAGCTTCCTAAGTGGACATGTAATAATTTAGTTAACTGTCCTCAGTGGTTGAGGCATTTAGGGTATTCTTTTTTTTTTTATTCCAGTAAAAAATGAAAATTAGCAGTCTTTTTTTCTTATGTTTGCACATTCATCCAAAACTTTTTTTCAAGTGAATTCCCAGGCATGGGCATTTGAATCATATCACAAATTATGCTCTAGAAATCTGGGCTTATTGGGGGCTACTTGAGAAGAATGTGAATTTCTGAGGATCAAAGGGTATTTGGCCTCGTTCTGATCTAACCATTATGGAAATAATGTTCACCTATGTACTAGTGAGGCCAGATCTTCTCTTGGAGCCACCCTTGGAATTAATGGGCCACCCAGTGTCTCTTTGAGGTGGCGTTAACCTGTGCTGCCTGTGGAAGTATGTCAGCTCTGTCAATGGGATTGTCTAACCCTTATCTTCATGGCCTGCCACTGAGTGTACGTAAATCATCTTTCTCCATTTACTTTTGCTTTTCTCAGTGCACACCTTTTGCTCTCCCTATACATGTTCTTTTCTTCCTGCATGCTTAGATACTAGTAGATTCTTTGGCAAATATGCTTTAGCAAGAATAAATGGATCTCTTATATATTTTCATTTTCAACAACGTAATATTCTTTCTTAACCATTTGCACCTATTCTGCTAAGAAGTATCAGGGCAAAGAAGAAAACTCAGATGTTCCTTGTCGAAAACGTAAGGTCTTGCATCTTGTTTCCCAGTGGATTGCTCTGTACAAAGACTGGTTACATGAAGATGAACATTCAAAAATGTTTTTAAAGGTAATGTAATACTTCCAAATATTCTTTGATGCCAAATAACAGATTTTATTCTCAATTATACATTAAAAAAATCTCATTTTGGGTAGCATTCAACTTTTTTGTGATATTCAAGTTGTGATTCAAAGAAAGTATACATTTATTTTGACTTCTGAGGCCCAGTACTCTGTACATAGATAGAAATTTTCTTTTAATTTTAAATCATTCATTATGAAAAAATGTAGACAGCAAATTTTACATTCACTAATTTAAGGTTATTGTACATAATTCATGGGAATTTTTTATTGCAAAAAAGTAATTAAGGAAGGTAAAATAAAACATACTTTAAAACTTGATACTATTTAATATGTTGAGATTTATTAAAAGTTTGGACTAACCAGTCTCATATATACAATATTTAGATAAAATTTTATCATTTAAAAAGTACATTGATAATATATACATTATAAACCTTTTTCAGAGTATGATGTATTTTGAGAATTTTAAGCAATAATAACTTATGAAGTAGATACTAACCTAGATTTACATTTGGAGTTAGATAAACTGCTATATTTCTAATCATTAATAGGCTTTTCAACACAGATGATTCTCTGGAGATAATTTGTAGACAGTTGGAGTCCTTTGGCCACCAAAACCATACTAGGTGTGTAGGTTAACATAGAGAAGGGGTAGAATGGAATCTGTGCAAGGAAGAGTTCTATTCCAGAATAGTCAAGTGTCTAAACTGATTCTGCTTTTCATGAAGGAAACCGCTTTGAATTCAGAATTCAGATATCATTTAGACACCTGCTTAAGAACTGGTTGACTAAACTAATGTTATTTGACTCAACTCTTTGACTAACTCTTTGACTAAACTTACTATTTTCAAAACAATTGGGTAATTCAATTGATTTTTCCCTCCCAAGTGATTCCATGGATATTATTTTTTAAAATATAGAGTAGGCACAGAAATCTTGAGTAGTGAGCCAGAGATCTCCAAGTTTCCAGCACTCCCTTCCTACAGCCCCTAAGAGCTGCTAGAGAGCCATGCCAGTTGAGTGAGGGGCTAGGAGAGGTGGAATCCCACTCAGGGTCTCATGGTACCTGGTTTAACTCCCTCCCTTGTCCTGGGTTCCTCGTTATTTCCCTGGGCAGAATGACCAGTGTATGAATGTCTTAATCCTTACAAAATGGGCATTAAACCAATTCAGTTGCCAGTTTTCTTTTTCCGCCAGACCATATACAGGAATGTACTGGATGATGTATATGAATACCCAATACTTGAAAAAGAATTGAAAGAATTTCAAAAGATACTTGGAATGCACCGTCGCCAGTAAGTATTTAATTTTCCTTATTGCAATTAAGGAAAGAAAGCAGCAAATGTGACAGAATTTGAGGTGTCTTATACAGTTCATTTTGAACATTTTGAATCTGGGATTCATCTTGATTCCTTATCTTTTCTAGTAGCAAATTGTGTATTTTGTTTTTATATCTCAAAATGAATGAACACTAAATCAAACTCATTTTGACTTTTTATTTTTTTTAACCCTGCTTGATACAGTAGAAACAAGCTGAGCCATAACCTGGGTACACAAAAACAATAATTTAATAAATTATTATTTAATTTCAAAAGTGTAAATATTGAACTTGTCATTTTGGAGGCTTTAATGGAGTAGGAAAAAAAGTTTTATAAATAGGTTGCAGCAAGTCATGGAGCATTTTAAAAGCTCAATTTTATGGATTCCCTGAGGTTTCTTTATCAATTTAGAAAGAAAAAAGAAAACCATTTACTCAGTGACTTTGGGCATGTGCAAGTATCCTCAACGTCTTTGATTAGTCTTTCAAATTGCCAATACCTGACTTTACTCTGATTTACCACTAACTCTCCATATTAATTTTGGTAAATGAAAACATCAAGTCATTCTTCAGTTTTCAGATACAGCTGCAAAGTTAATCTGAAGGGAAAAAATGTTCTCTGATTTACAGTGTAGTTTCTACTTAGTAAATATGAAACACATCTTTTGTCAAGTTGTTAAAAACTTCTAAGATTTCAGTAGTCACAAATGCATTTCTTATAGAAAATGTTGGTTCAGGCCTTTCAGATTACTGATTTGACATTTAAAGCCTGACTTAATTTTAGTAAAGGGAAATCCTGTTGCAAATTAAATGTGTGTATAAATTAAGATTAGAGAGAAAACAAATCGTATGTAACCCTTAGTCCACCATCACAAAAATCACACATTTAGAAATTGAGAAATGAGGTGCAAGTTAGGACAGTGTGTAAGAAATGTGTTGTGAATTTTGCGGTTCTTTCATCACAATTTACACTATAGTAAGTTTCCATAGCCTAAGACTAGTGTGAAAATATGAACAAATGAACAAAAAAGAAAAAGAAGACAGCCTTTAAATCAAAATAATCCCCCAGAAGCTGGTCTGTGCTACAAGGCAGGCCTGTTGGGAAACTTTAATTCATGGTTTCGTAGGTTTAAATGCATTAATGGGATTTAATACATTTAATACATTCCATTAAAAAAACACATAAAAATGGGAGATAATAGATTAAAACAAGAAAATGATATTAAGGCATGCTTCTTGCCTTTTTGGTATAAAATTATGAAATATCTTTAGATTCTGGAGTAAAATTTGAGCTAGGGACCTGCAGAATGTCCCTCAGGTCCACATAGAAACATTATCTTTTAGATGTGCCTTGGCTGACGTATTTAGCTATGTGAATAACAATAATTTCACCTAAAATTTGCTAACATATGAGAAAACTTTTCGAGTTTTTGTGGACTGAATAAATCCAGTTCTTCCCTCACTGCTCACTTTCTGGGGGTAGGAAGCAAAATATACCTGTTAAGTAGATAGGTTATTTTCTTCCTGGTTCACTGGAAATCTAGAGCCCGATGTCAAGCATGTTATACATTGTAAATTAATGTGTTTTATCTTTTTGAAAAGCAAAAACCTCTGCCCAGTGCCTGAAAATTAGTCTTCCATGACAATAACTGCGTTATTCTGGGTTTGAGACAGACTGACTTCCTGTCCTCTTCCTTTCAGCACTGTGGATGAGTATTCACCGCAAAGGAAGGTAAGGCAGACCCTTCTCTATCTGAAGTGCAGCGATCTTGTTTGGAGACCTTCCCTAGCCTCTTTTGGCATCTCTTCGTGATTAAAATGAACAGCACCTCAAGCAGAACAGGGCTGTGGTGGGAGAAGCCTGGGGCTGTGGCTTGCCGACATTCTCCTGTGCACTTAGTTTCCCTGTGCTGGTGCAGATCCGATTTCACCATGTGCCTTTGACATTATGACATTCTGCATATTTTTGTGGTGCATTTTGGAATCTCAGAGTTTCCCCAGTGTCTCTAGAGTGATATCAGTTTGAATTTTAAATGTCAATGCAAAAAAGGAAAAGACCCAGGCAAGAATCTTGACTGCAAGACTAAGGAAGTCCTGTAAGGAAAAGGTTTGCACTTCCGACACAACAGAAAAACAGAGGAGCGCAAGAGGGAATGTGTTTCCTATTCGACTTGAGGGGAAAAATGCAAATGAGATGTCAGGCACAAGTTTTGTAGAAGCTGATGTGTCAGGTGGATAATCATATTGAATAATGAAGCTTTTTCCCTTAAGAAAGTCTTTGCACTACAGCAGAGGTATGAAACCATCCCAAGGTTGCTTTATCCAAAAGCAAGGTTGATGTTGGGATGTGGAAACAATGTCTTTTTCAGGAGAAGAATCTGTGGATGTTTGTAGTATCTAGTAAAAATCATGCCGATATTCTCCAGGATGTCGCAGGGAATAATTATAGGGGCTTTTTGCCTACTACTGGCCTTGGCCAAGGTCTGTCATAGTGCTCAGACTCTCCACCTCCACATGCATTAATAGAGGCAACTCCCAGTTTATTCCTCTAAGATTGGATGGGTGGATTTCATATTAAAAAGAAAAAATTGGCCAGCTCTTTTGGAACATGTTGTAAACAGCTGTGGTTTTCCAAAGGGCAGGAATACATTCATTCATTGTTCTCTTTCTCCCCTCTCACAGAATAAAGCCCTTTTCCACCAATTCAGTCTTAAGGAGAACTGGCTCCAACACAGAGGAACTGTGACTGAAACAGAGGAAAGTGAGTATGATTTTAACAAGGGTTTTGGGTAGGTGGAGTCGCAGTTAATCACCCTCATTCTCCAACATTAACACATCAGCCTGCCTTTAACCATTTCCAGCTGTCACACTCTGAAAGGCACGTTAACATCAAAACTGATGGTTTTTCTTTTCTTGCTTTGAGCATTACAATTTTCTTGATCATATACCTGTGTCCCAGGGACCAAAGCTATTTTTAAGTTGGAAAGTAAGGAAAGGAGATTGCAAAGAGCCTCCTGCGTTCTTAGGGAGAGGTGCAAAATTGCCTGGACATGCAACCTTTTCCTCTTGGCCGCCTTCTTCCTTGCTCTGTTAGCCTATTGCCTATGACTAACTGGAAAGTCCACTAAAGCCAATGTGCAGGGCTTTGCTGAGTCAATCTCTGAGATTTAGAGAAGAAAATCTTGGAGAGAATAATTAAAGGAAGGATGTGCAATCGAAATTCCTTCAAGGCAAGGCTGTGCTGGGCAGTGGCACATAGCCAGTATGTTCTCGGTCTCTGCCCGTCAGTGCTGAGAGGGCTCGTGACCCACCCTGAAGAGGGCTGCTCAGTCAATACAAGGGAAAAGACCTTTTTAGCACCCAGAAGGTGCTGACGTGCTTTTCTACGTTAGTATTTTATAATGAAACAGGAAATGGTTTCCTCCTGTTTGGAAGAAGGTTGAGTCAAGTGCAGAGCTGGGAAGCACTTAGAGCAGTTAAAACGTTCACGCTATTGTGACTTGGAGACTTTCTCTGTTAACTTGCCTTTCTCAATGTGCTAAAATTCTAAGTGTGCACATTTAATATTTGCTCAACTTCTTGAACACTTAACCAGCAAAATGTCACAAGGATGCTTCTTCTGTTATGTTGCGTTTGTATATAATGATGCTCATCAATGGGACTCTTGTATCATAAGTAGCATCTGTACCAAGTGAAAGAGCAAAGGAAGTGACCTTACCTCCTAACTCCTTACTTGCTGACCGTCCTTGACCATTTGCCTTATGGTTTAATTGTATAGTTTTTCAAGCTGAGTTTCAAAGAGTTTGAGTATTTCACGATCCTGGCCTCTTTTCGTTCGTCAGCTTATTAAGCAAACTGTAAACTTGCCTCATCTTTAGTGATTTGTAGAGCCGATCTTTGCCTTGCTCAAAAATTCCATTTTTCTATGGAAGGTAAAAAGCCTTTTTGTCTCTCAGAAGTCTGTTGACAATGTATAAAACACCTGTTTGTTAGATGCTATTGTTTTAGTGACACACTCAACCAAACCAAAAACAAAATGCTGTCAGTGCCTCCTGGTGGTGTGTTTATTTTGACGTTTGTACGTGTAAACTCAGTTAGGTTTTGGCTTCATTTGCATTTCTCTGAAAACATTCCTGGGTTTATTTTTGTGGTCCCATTTAAATTGCATATGAAATTTCTCTAGGAGCTGCACTCTCACCCCCCCCTTTTTTTTTTTTTTGCAGTATAGAAGAGAAGAGTATCTAAGTATATTACTGTTCTTCTGTCTTTTCTAAAGAAGCCAGTGGTTTATACGTTTGGAATAGCTGAGATAGGAAGCAAATAACATGTCAATTATCTCCGTTGCTATTAAAACATTTTCTGCTATCAAATAATAAAGAAAAATTTTTCCAGGACCTGTTCACCCTGATAGTGAAATGTCCTAGTAATAATTATTCACACTGCAGACAATAAAAAGGAAATTAAAAAGACTAGAAGTGTGACCTCTATTTGGAAACTAAACTCACCACGATCTTGATTCAGGGGCTCATTCTTAAATGATCAAGAAGGCTGAATACAGAAACCATGGCAAATGACAGCTATTTGGATAAGCTTATGAGAGTTCTAATAACAAACTGTAGTGTACTTGATTGGGCCACAGTGACTGTCCAGAAATGGAGTATAAAATAAAAATGTATGAGGTAGACTTTTTTGTTTGTTTTTTTTTTAAGATTGGCACCTGAGCTAACATCTGTTGCCAATCTTTTTTTCTTCTTCTTCTTCTCCCCAAAGCCCCCTAGTACATAGTACTATATTCTAGTTGTAGGTCCTTCTGGTTGAGCTATGTGGGGTACTGCATCAACATGGTTTGATGAGCAGTGCTTTGTCAGCGCCAAGGATCCAAACTGACGAAACCCTGGACCGCTGAAGCAGAGCGCGTGAACTTAACCATTCGACCATGGGGCCAGCCCCAAGTTAGACTTTTTCATATACTGCTTTGGGAGATCTCAATAATGCTCAAAGAAAGGACTCAAGAATACAGTCCATGTCCCACAGATTCCAGTGTATTCTGGTCAGGCCATCTCCACCATGAGGGCATACTTGCATGACGTGGGTCTCTCCTTGCTGTATGAGAAACCTAAGTACTACTCATGCTTGTTCACCAGCTGTATAACATCCACATCGCGGGTGTGCAAGGACACATTCGTATGCATATACCCTCAGGCGCCCGTGTGCACACATAAATATGTAAATCTAGCTGTGCATGTTTAAAGAGACTAGTAAGGTGATGTCTTGGTTTGGAGAAGTCTGTACCTCATGTCCACAGTTCTCTGTTTACTAACAATTCTTTTGCCTTGTACAGTTTTTTGTCACGTGTATATAACAGAGCACTCCTATGTCAGTGTGAAGGCCAAAATTTCCAGCACAGCCCAAGAGATCCTGAAAGTTGTGGCAGAAAAGATCCAGCATGCAGAAGAGGATCTGGCTCTGGTGGCCGTCACATTCTCTGGGGGTGAGTTATTTTCTGTACTTGAATATTAATCTTTCACTGGATCTGCTCCCAAAGGTGAGAGTTGGCATTTTTATAGAGTACACAGGCAGTTCATCCCTTCTGGGTCCGCAGCTGGGTGACCACAGTGACGACAAGAAACTGCCTACCAGAGGTGTTTCCATGACAACAGCTGGGCGCTGTTGGATTCTGGATTTCTTCCCCAAGAACTGCATAAAGAGGCATGCCAGTGTTTTGAAATATATTATAAAGCCTTTCTTATTTTGTACTCTAGATAAGCCTTCTATTTTCATATTTAAATTAACTTGGGAAATTGCTAAAGGATAAAATTACTTTACAAAGGAAAAAGAAAAACGGCCTAGAACTAGTCATATTGCTGGCTGACAATTTAATACTTAAAGACTCCCTATTGAAGGAAATACAAACTATACAATAAGCCAAAAGCTCACAGGCAGTGTTCCTGTAGGTGGACGTGGGGAGTGAGGTCTGATGATAGCTTTTCCTTCTGTTGGGCCTTATTTATCCTCAGAGAATGGTTTATTGTCTGTTTTGAATAAGATCACCCAGATTACAAGCTGACGCTATTGATCTACGTGACCTGAACAGACCCTCTCGTTTTCACCGGAGCCTGTCAGATCTCAATGTCGCTGGCCTCTTTTTTGGCTTACAATCTTTGTTTAATATCTCATTAACCCCAAGAAAAATACAAAGACAGTGACTTAGCATCAGTAGTTGAAAAATGGGCATGCTATGTGAACTAATCAACCAGAGATGGGGCAGGCCGGGGAGGGGATCAGATAGCTGCTTTCCTCTTACCTTTGTTATCATTCTAGAGTCAGAGGATATCAGGATATATTTGATGTTAAAGCATCACGTGACAGAGGATTGCTTCTATTGCTTTGTTACTCAGAGGCAGGTAAAATGGTCCTACAAGCTAGTCAATTACATATGCAGACAGATACAGCCCATCTCCCAAGGCCTAACAAACAAGAGTCCCTCCTCCCTCTCCTAGGGCCCCAACTGTGCATCCATCGAAACACTATCTAGAAAAAAAGGGCAAGAATTTGATAAGCATGTGGACTACATGAATTTTAATCAGGGAGTGGTTGAGTTTTTAATAAAGTATTTCAGATAGATCTATGTATATTTAATTTTAAGTGACCAAAAATATTAAATGATTCGAAACAGTATTAAGCTTCATCAAAAGCAACATTTGCCTCTTAAGACAGTGCCTTTACAAAGAGGAAGCATTGGGTCCCCATTCAGACAGAAGGTACTGGAGAAGGAAGGACCCTGAGTGAACTTGGTAGCACAGTTGAGGCCCATCTCCTTCAGAGTCTGACTCACAGTTAGGCCAGGGCCACATGTGAATCTGGAAATTAACGAGTAGCTCTTTACTGTCCAATCTTTTTGATGGCTGTGAAATGCCATTTTACACTCTATGAAATTAGATTCATCAGGGTGGGCAGTGGCAGTCTAATGTGTACACACTCATTGCTAATCATCACTAGAAATATCAACTTATCTCTTGAATTATCTCAGTTTTGGAAACCTGCCATCACTTTACATCAATTAGTAGTTTTGTCTGTTAAGAACCTTTCTGCCTGCAGCTTAATATCCCCCAAATAATAATCTTTTTATGAAGGAAAAAACCCAGAGCCTAATGTATTCCTTGCCCTAGTTACATAATTTTAAATAAATAATATTTTAAATGCTACTCCAAAATGAAATGACAGTGAAATCTACTGTTATTTTCTTTTTTTCAAAAAAAGTTTAAAGATGTTGGCAATGATGTTTTGTGGATTTTTCTAAAAGGCCTGGTGCTGTTATCTCATAGCTTTCAGGAGGTTTCTGTTTTGTACCCAGGGTAGGTGTATGGATATAGTACAGAAACCTAGCCAGTTATTCAGAGCTTAAAATTCTATCAGCTTTAATCTTTTATAGTCTAGTGACAAACCTGAAAATAAGAAAAAAATTTCTTAGTAAATGGAAAAATTACTGTCAGAAAGCCATGCCATTTTATTCCATAGCAAGTGTGGAATAGCTCTCATAAATTCAGATTTAATGTGTACACATGAGCACACAGAGGGTTGCAAGAAATTGTAGCTAAACAAAGAGGGAGGAGATGGAAAAAGTTCAGAGCCCTGCTGTGTGGGACCATTTACTACACACGTCAACAGCCCAACATGACAGTACTATTGATCTTCATGATGCTGGGCCATAAAAAATATATTAGATTATCATTTATGTACTCCATATTAAGCAGAAATGTTCAAAACAAAATTTGGCATTTTAACTAATTAAGTTATCTAGAAAAAGATGTGTAGGATGTTGCATTTCCCAACCATGCTGGATAACTGAAGGGCTACCTCAGGAGAAGCTGATTATGTTACAGTGGAATAAACTTGGGTTTTACTTTAGTCGATTTCCATCTGCATTTTGTAAAGTTAGGAGGAGGACATTTTTCTGTGAAGAAGGCTATTGTGTTACAGGAGAGCTCCAATTATGGTAGAAAAAAGGTCAAAGGATAAGAACAATTTGCAATAAGGGAAATAAATTGAAGAAAAATATATGAAAAATATTCAGTTTCCCTAGTAGTCAAGAAATATAACTGGGAATCTATTTTTGGTTTTAGCAAAATAGCAGACTTACCAAATGTAATGATCAGTGTTGGTCAGTGGACAAGTTTTATTCCTATTTTTAGGAATTTGATGACTAATTTTCTAAAAAATAAGAATTGGAAAGCAACTTGGCAGTTTGTATCAGAACCTTTGAAACTATTCATTCCTTTTGACCCAGTAGTTCCACTGGTGGGAATCTATCTTAAGAAAAGTATCTATAAGCAGCCAAAGATTTATGCACAAGGTTATTGACTTCAGCAATATATATTGTGGCTGCTATAATAATAGATTCCATTCATCAAGACCCTATTATGTGCCAGGCCTGGTGCTAGTACTTAGCATATATCTTGCCATCTAATTTATATGACCAAAAAAATTGGAAACCATTAAATATTCAACAATAGAGGAAACATTGAATGATGGTATAATGGACTATTCTGTAACCAATTAAACATACTTATATAAATAATTTTGACAAGTGGGTAAGTGCTTATAATAAAATCAGAATGTAAAACCATATATGGAATAATTGCAAATATATATGTATATGTGTACCCATAACGATTATGAATGTATATGTATAAATAATAATTGTTACTGTGTGTGTGTGTGTGTGTATATGTTCACACACACATTTACATAAACATCAGAACAAAAATATTCCCAAATGTTACCAATATTACCATCGTATGATTTTCTTAGAGTGATGGGATTGTGAGTGAATTCTACCTTCTTCCCTAAACTGTTCTGTGTTATAAAAAATGACTAAGTATTATAAGAAAGAATCACAAGAGGGTTCCACTTGAGGGATAATGAGCAGTGATGTCCATAGTCCCACTGGTATCATTGTACAGAAAATGCAGAACTGAATTAAATCTACTTTACATCCTATTTACTTTTAAATATGTTTCTTTGGCAAATTTCACTCTTCTGATGTACCATATATGCCTACTGTTCTTCTTGTGTTTCTAATTACCCTTTTTTTTTTAAATAAAGAAAAGCATGAACTTCAGCCAAATGACTTGGCCATCTCTAAATCCCTTGAAGCGTCTGGTCGGATATATGTCTATCGGAAAGACCTGGCTGACACTTTGGTAAGGACCTTTAGCCTTGTACTTGAAACCATAGCCACTAATGTCAGACTCAAAGCATATTTTTGTATATTTTTTAATGAATATTGGAAAAATGTATTGAACTGTTTCCTCTCTTAGCCAACAATACACTCATCAAATAACACTTTTGCAAAGCAAAGAGAGGCCCATCTTGAGAAATTCTAAACCCTTCCTAAGTCAAACCCTGCTTCTTTCTGAGCCCCTAAAATAAGGGATTTTAGAAAAGTGACTCCCTCACCCAGGGAATCTTATTTCCATTTCTTCTTTTTTGGTGCATATATGGAGATTAGGTTGAGAAATGCACCCTGTGTGGATTTAGGAGAAAAGAGAATCTGCTGTTTGTTTCCGTCCATTTACCATTCCTCTCAAAGAGAGGATGGGTTATCAGCCTTCCCTGTGTAAAATGGCCTCATAATAGGGGGACATCAGATGCCATAGAAGAGTAAGAGTATGAAATGTAGAACCCGCACTGTGTTATTTTCAGTTCTAAATTTAAGAACATTTACGTCTAAGTCGATGATTTGTTATTATTATTTCTAAAAACCTCAGAATTGTGGTTGCTTTCTGAATGGTAGGATCAGGCCTCAGATCCATGACCCACAAAAAGCAGGCTCTACCAGATTGTGATTATATCATCCAGACTCATGGCCCTAGTCTGTTTCATAGAGTCATTGCTGGGATGGGCCTTTTCAGCTGGCTCCTGTTGTATACATAATTGAGGAATGTATATACCACATGGGTTAACAAAACTGCTTATAATAAAAATATGTAAAATTATCTACAGGATATCAAGCTACCATAATAATATTAGTCACTGTCATTTTTTACATTTATTACCAGATTCATATGTGCTGAGTAATTGACATACAGTATATCATTTAACATGCCTAATAAGGAATTCTTTATTAGGCATGTTAAATGAATAGGAGTGTTAACATTCCCTATGGAATTTAGAGAGGCTGAGTAGCTTACTCTAGCTGCCTACAGTGCTAGGATTTCAGACTGATGTGTTTGACTCTGGAGCTCCTGCACATTCCTTTCATTTGTACATGATGAGGGAGAAAAGGAGAGAAGGGGAAAGCTTTTTTCTTACTGGGCCTTTCAGTTCTGAGTGTCCGTCAGCAGGTCACAGGTCCTGCATCTGTACATGATGTAACTCCATCACTGAAACATGACAAACTGGACTTTGCACAGCATCTTTGAGCAAATACTGAGAATGATTTGACTTCACCCCTCCCCATGAAGGAGGACAATGTAATGTGTAACTGCTGTGGGCTCCTGGTGATGAAGGGAACCTGGACTCTGTCTTCCACACCCTCCTCCTCCAGGCCACATACAGCTCTCTTGCATTTCCCTTGCATGCATCTCCAGAGCTCTCCTACCACTGTCCAGGGCCAGCTCCAGAAGAACATAATCTGGGCCAGAGGCAATGTCTTAATGGAATAAGTGGGTGCTATGAAGTATTCTGAGATGAGCCAGATGCCGTCCTGCCCTCACATGTTTGCCCCACCAACTTTGCACACCATCAAAGTTTCCCTGTTGGAATCATAACTTTAGGTATTTCATCTCTAAAAGGTTTCAGTTGAACTGGAACCTTGAAAGGACCGCTAGTACCCACTATCCTTGCACATGGATTAATTAATCTTCTTGGAAAGCGGGAATTAGAGCCCTGAATGAATGGGATAGAGAAATATAAAGTGTTTCTTGGAGAAAGCAGTGGACAACCTTGAATAACCAGAGGGCAGTGCCAGGGTAAAGGGCACATTTAGAGAGAAAAAGCCAGGTGAAAATGCCATTACACCCCTAAATTAGTGAGTAGAAATTTGTGTTACTGCCCAGCTCTTGGCTCTCCCTTGGAATGTCTGCAGTGCAGCATGGCATCCATCTGGTCCCAAACTAACCGGACCAATCCTTGAGAAACGTGGGCTTGTCCCCCATCTCAACACCTCAGTATTTTCACATGCATTCATTCCGTCCGCCCTTACTAAGCTCCACTCTGTATCCCACTCTGGGGATCCCGGGATAATTTGTACCTTGACCTACTCTGAAGAGAATCAAGGCTGTGGAAAAGCTCTGTGAAGATCATTTGTCATTCATTTTTTTTTAATTAGGAAAATTTTTTATAAATGTCAAACTTCTAAAATGCAAATAATTTGTTTCATAGTTTAAAAATAGATTAATATTTGGAATCTGAAATATTTCCTTTATCTTACTATGTCATTTATTTATGTAGAGTCCCATTCTTTTTTTTTCCAAGTCATTAACTATTTTAACATCATTATCTCTTCAAGTCCAACCCTTCAAATGGGAGAATTTATATTTTAATAAGAAAATATCAAATATCTTGGAAAGATGTCAGATAATTTTAAATAAATGTAACAGTGAAACTAATGCTGTGGCGGCATTTAATAATTTCATGCCAGATTTTAAGGAAATCCTGTTACCAAACTCATACTATTTGTGTCGGGAAAGCAATAGATACTTCAGATAATCATCCCCCATGGAATATAAATGAAGTAACTTTGATCTTTTATTTCTTGTTTAAATTTTTATCGCTTTCCGCAGGCATTTTAATAAAATTTGTAAATGTGTGTCTGGGATGAGGCTTGCTGAGCATATTTCCTGTAAAAGCCATGTCTGTCTTTATTGAAGTGCACCATGACATTTCTTTTGTTTGTTTTTATACTAGCCTTGCTGGCACATTAATTCTTACCAGAAGCCAAGTGATTTCAGGGCTTTTGCTTTCATTATGCTGTCTGCCAGGCAGTGTTTTATAATCAGATTTGTGCGTGCACGTGTGTTGATGGGGAGGGGGCAGACTAACTCAGTGAAGTATCATTGATCACATTCTGCTGTTTCCAAGGCTGTTTCCTAAATTGGCTGTAATTCACTGAAGGTGAACAGACCAGGGAAAATATTAAGTGCACTCAGACAAGATTACTTTTCTAATTTGGGCCTCTAGTGCCTTTCTACGGCCAGTCAATTCAGTGCCAAACATTTGGGAATTACTGAGGAGCCTTTCGCTTCTGTCTGTCGGTTTAGAACCCGTTTGCAGAAAATGAGGAGTCACAGCAAAGGTCGATGAGGATTTTGGGAATGAACACTTGGGATCTTGCTCTGGAATTAATGAATTTTGATTGGAGTCTCTTCAATTCAATTCACGAGGTAAGTGGAATGAAAAGATAAAATAAATGCTAGTGCTATTTTAGCTGTAAATTCTTTTTGAAGACTGTTTGTGTGTGACTAGGTTTTAAGAAGATCTATCATCTGGTGATATAGTTCTGCTTAGGATACCATGGCCCAAAAAGATATTTGGAGACTTGAAGTATATTGAAAGACTGACCACACCTAGGAAAATCAGAATACACGATCATGATCTATTTGCTTCTAATACAGTCATATGTTTGTATAATGCAGTATAAATAGGCTGTATTTTTATGTGTGAATACCTATGTGTTTGTATATATGAAGCTCTAATAGGATTGAAGAGCCACTTTACATTTGATACTTTTGATATTGATATTTTAATTTTTCCATGAAGTTTACAGTGGTTATACAAGAATCATATTTATGTACATACCTACACACACACACACACATACATTCTTTTACTTAAGAACATACTATAAATTTAGACTCTGCTGTGAGACTTTAAGTACTTTCTTGAAAACTGAGATATCTTTCAAATTTTTATGTCTATCAACCTCTCCCTTGAGGACAGCTTTAACATTTATAAAACAATAGGTTAGAGGCAAAATGCTACTGACAATTAATAAATAAATTTAGCCAGTGGAAAGGCTCATAGGAATCGGGAGATGAAAAATGTGACAGCTCTGTGCAACCATACGTTGGTTCTGCTTTGCCATATAGTGAAATTTTTCATTACAAAATAGCCTTTCCTTCTGAAGAAGGATCTCATGCCCAACTTAGGGACCCTTGAGCTTCACTTCATTTTGGAATGTCTTTTAAATGTCCTTGTATTTTCTCATTAAAAAACATTCCAGCATTATAATCTAAATTTGAGCAAGTAGTGAGTTCATTCAAGCCAAATGACTTGTGACTTTGCAAATGTTAATAGAGAGGGATGTGTCCCTGCTTATGCAGTGGGAGAATGTGAATTACTTCTGTAAAATACATATTCACACGCACACCCTTCCGTTTAGAAGCAAATCGCTTCTATTGTTTTGCATATGATCCGTCCATATAAGTAGTTACTGGTCTTACTGGATTTTGTAAATTTAGGACCTTGCCCTAATCTCATTCTCTGTTTATGATTTGACAGTATCTTATATCAGTGTGAGTTGTTCTCAAAGAGTGGGTTCCCAGGCCAGCATTATCAGCACCACCTAGGAACTTGTTAGAAGCACACATTTTTGGCCCGGCCACAGACCTACTGAATCAGAAAATTTTGGAGGTGGGGCCCAGCAATCAGTGCTTTAACAGCCACCAGGTGATCCTGATTCATGCTAACATTTGGGAACTCTTGTCTAGAGAATGTACCAGTGAGGGTCTAATGCGCATCTTAATGAATACTGGTGGTGTTCATTTTCACTTGTATTTGCCAATATAACAAGTTTGGGAAGTTTCCATTTGATTCAACTTGTGATTTAAACTTTAGAATGTCTTAGATTTTCATGTAAATGCATCATCCTTACATTGTAAAAAATAACATTTATATAAGGATTCTAAGTAAACATTATTTAATGAAGCAGCTCTAAAACTAAAGATAAATTGTATCAAATTTAATATATTATTTTATATTCTCATAGCATTATGATATGAGAGTGGCTTCCCAAAGTAGGTCTTAAAGATCGACTAACTTGTATCACTTTGACTTTGAATGTGCTAAAAATAGATCCTGGCATGACTATGTTTTCTTTCAGCAAGAGCTGATCTACTTCACGTTCAGCAGACAAGGAAGTGGAGAGCACACCGTGAACCTCAGCCTCCTGCTCCAGAGATGCAATGAGGTCCAGCTCTGGGTGGCCACGGAGATCCTGCTCTGCAGCCAGCTAGGCAAGCGAGTGCAGCTGGTGAAAAAATTCATCAAAATCGCCGCCCAGTGAGTTTCTTGTGATGAAAAGGGCAATTTCTTTCTTCTCCTTGAGAGAGTACATTTTTTTCCTTGTGATGATAAGAAGGGTTGGGATGTAAAAGTATAATATTGAGTTAAGTGACCAAAGGATTGAAAAGGTCCGTTCTTGAATATTTATGTCTTTGCTTCTAAGTATTTAAGGTAAATGTCAAACTGCCAGACGAAAGCACTCTACTCTGTTTACAGAACTAATAAGCAGGCAGTGCACACACGTGGTATCCTGCAGCTAAGTCATAGTGTGGCCAGGCGAGCTACCGTAGGCTAGGAAAATGGGGGAAGACGACGTGAGGGGGTGAGAATCATTGAATATTAGGTGAGTTCTAGGATTCTGCTCTTGGCTCCTTGCTACCCACAGAACCAACTTTGCAAACTCCTTAGCAGGACCTGCATAGGCTGGTCCCACCTGACCTCTGAGCTTCATCTGCTGGGTGCACCCCATGCTGCAGCCACTCTGAATGACTATTTCTTTCCTGTGCACAGCATCCTCCAAGCCTGGACAAGGTGCTATTGGCTCTGCCAAGAATGACCACTTCTACCCAGCAAATTACTGTCATTCTTAAGTAATTTCTGACTTTCAGATGCAAGGTCAACTACTCCCTACCTCTGCCTCCCTCCCCCCACCTCCCCCCCCCCCGCCCATACACACATGCTTTTTTCCTTTTTTAAAAAATTTCCTTCTTATATTTATTAAACTTATCTGTTTATATTAGGATTCCTTCACTGGGCTCTGTTAGCCTCCAGAGAACAGGGATTAATTCTAATCAGTCATTGTACCTAGGGTGCCTGGTACAGAAGTTGGTAAATAGCAGTAACTCAGTAAATGTTGGTTGAGTGACATTTTAGTGGCTTGCTGGGAGCATCTCTTAAAATACCGGGTTAGTATCCTGAGACTGCTCTTCAGACAGCTTCCCAACAGAAGCAGGCAGCAGGAGTCAAAAGCTCTCCCAGTCTTCCCATTTTATTTCTCCTTTGTCTTTCAAAGTAATTTTTATATCAAACAGCTTTGAAGTACCTGCCAGGGTAATCTAGTCAGGAAATAGGTATTGATCACTCAGTATATGTGCAGACTCATGCAAGGTGCTGTGGGGAAATCAGACTGAGCCCACACCCGCTCCCTGCCTTGGAGGAGTTCGCAGTGTGCTGGGGTGTGGGGGACACTTCTTTAACTCAAACAGCTAATGTGCAAAATAGAACAGGGGAGTGCCCCATTATGAGGTGAAATTCTGTTGGGGGCTTTAGAGGAAGGGAAGTTCATATGCCAATGATGTAGTAAAGGAGGATTCAAGAATCGTTTGTGAAGGAAGTCGCATCTGAGGTTACATTTGAATTCTGGGTGGAATTTGACAGGTAAGAATTTAAAAGGGCACACTCTCCCCGGAGGTCAAACTCCCTGGAGGAGAGAAGCAGAGAAGCTCATTGGAGGCAGAGAGCCTGTGGTCAGGGAAAGGACCCCATCCAGCTTGGCCAGAGTGGAGGGTATTTATAAGGAAGTTGTGGGAGATTGATCTGCAAAGGAAGATGGGGCCAAATTACAAAGGATGTTGAGTTTCAGATTGAAGAGTTCGAACTTCATTGAGAGGGCAGTAGGGATTCATTGGAAGTTTTTGTGCAGGAGACCCATATAATGAGAGTCGTCCTTCAGGAAGGTTGATCTGAAAGTAGCACATAGACTGAACTGTGGGCAAGGAGACCTCCCCAGGCAGGATATTTTGTTTACTTTGGTGAGAGATAATAGAAGTACATGAGCTGGTGTTTGGTGTAGCAGGGACTGGAATGAGAGAGAGATAATAGATATGCCTAAATCTTGGACCGTGTTTATGGTGAATGCTCCTTTTTTTTATTTCACCAGTGCTTTCCAAAATAGTCTGTGAAATTCCTAGAGGTAAGGCTCTTTTGGATCAGAAACTTTCTTTTAAATGCCAGTTACTTGGAGAAGTGGGACATTAACGTCCCAAGGAATAAAATGACACCACACAGTTTAGTTCCCAGTATAAGATTATATCTATCCTCAGGGAAATGAAATATATTCACATCGTCTCCATGTGGCCCCATGCTTTTGAATTATTTACTGTACTGATCTCTGTCCCTAGTCCATGGAATAGAATGCCAACAGAAACATAAAGTTAAATTCCTCATAATCACAGTTGTAGGAATAACCAAGGGAACACAGTAATCTCCATGATCACGAAGTGTCTTTCCTGCCTAAGGCATCCATTTGCATATTCATGTTCCACTTCTTTCTCACCATCCCCATCCCCCACCTCTGTGGATTGAGTGGATTTTATTTCCTTACACAGACAAAGGAGTGTTTGCTAAACTGGAATGTTTTAGTGTCAGACAGTCTGTTCTTATCTTGGAATGAATGAACCTTGATGACAGAGAATTCCAGACTGGAATGACATCCAGTATTTGTACTCTCTCAATTTGTCTTCTAGAGAAATCGTGTCTGTGTTAATTCCTTTTTTCTTTTTACAGATTCAGATGTTGGTTATATGTGTTTTTTTTTTTAATTTTAAGTATGACTAAAAAAAGAGATCTGGACCAGGAAAATTGTTTATGGGGAGCTAAAACATAAAAAGATGATACTTATATCTAAGATTTCATATAGGTAAATGATACTTTACATATCATTACATTACATACATACATATAGGTAAATAAAAAAGGGAAAATAAACCTTTTTATAATGAATAATAATAAAACCATTTCCCAGAAAATCTTGTTTCAACTCTAGCAAATGCTCTCTGAAAGGCTTGCTGTATACTCAGCATATTTGGGTGATGAGCAGAATATGAGAATGAAATAGACATACACTCTAGCCTTAAAGAACCTACTGTCTAGCAGGACCTCTGTCATGTAGTAGGAGAGAGCCTCCAACTGAGGTGCTTCTGGCGTAGAGATAGAGCTAGTTCTCACTGACCACAAGAGCCGCGGCAGAGGAGCCTGGCACTTCAAACCATCACATCAAGAGATGGGGCTGACTCAAGTCTGTTCTGGCTGGCGTGAACTTTCCAGGGGTGTGATGAGACAGAAAGGGTACAATGAGGGAAGTGAATGGCAGAAGGGAAGTAGAGTCACAGTATGGATGCCTTCAGGCACCAGTGATTCTCATAAATGGATGAATTTCTAAATCATAGGCCAGGAAGTATCTTGTTTGTTTGTTTATGGAATATACCAAGCTGGGTCCACCCGGGAGAAGGTTGGCAGAAACCAGGTGAAGGAGCCAGTTAGACTGAGTTCCAGGTCCTCTTGGCTACCAGCCAACTGCAGGCAGAGTCGAAAAGCTGGACAGGAAGACTATGAGAGGAACAGACCATGCCCAGTGGAGATTCAGTGGTGAGGGGCCTGCAGGACTGCTGTGTTCGCCCCAGATATTTTGGATACTAGGTGTGGAGGCAGCAGTGCCTTTCCAGGTTCCACTGTTAATGGAAATAGAACTTCCAAAATGCTCCCAAGCATGACCCTCACTCCTTCTAGCCCAGGCGCCACTGTACTTTGGCAGTATCTACTCCATGAGGCTGGCTCTAGGAGCAGGCCAGTTCAGCCAGGACCTGCCAGAGCACAGCCAGCTAGGTGTATTACTACGTTAACAGCCCACACCATTTTCCTAGTTCTGAACTAGATGCTCATGTACACAACTTCCAATGCGAGAAATTGGTATAGTTTTGGGGGACAGAAGTTTTCAATATGTGTCAAGAACCTCCTACAGTCGTGATAGCTTTTGACCAATCAGGTAATGACTGGAAGTCTAACTCAAAAAAATCATAAGTACAGTAAAAAGTTTTACACACGAAGATATTCATTGCAGCATTCTATGTTGAATTGAAGATAATTTAAATGTCAACAATAGTGAAATGAATTAATAAATGATGAAATGTTTTGATGAAGTGATATATAGCCATTAATGATAGTGAAGAATTCATAATATATAGCGTAACACAGTATATAACTGAAAAATTAGAATACAGAATTATATATACACTGTTCCCAAATTCCATTTGAGACATTGATGGAGATGTCATGGAAGAGATGGCATCTGAGGAAAGCTAAGTTAATATATACTAGGTACTTTTTATGCACCCAGCTAACTGCTAAGCACTTTCGTATTTCTTCATATGTAATTATCAAGTTAGGGTAATTTCTTAATTTTGAAGACTTGCCTCAGAGAAGTTGTTTTCTACTGTGCCCCCGATAATGGAGTATTTGGAATTCACAGGCAATTCTGGAAGCCCAGCCTCCATCTTCTTATACCAAGCCCCCTCAGCTGGCTTTGAAAATCAGTGGAATTTTGACCAATTAAGTCGAATGATTGACGTTATACAGAACAGATAACCTTACAGAGTGAATGGAGGCCAACATGATCTTATTTTGCATTTTATTTCCTTTCTTCTTTAAATGAGAAATGTGAGACAGTATCTCACAATATATACCATATTTTAAATATATACATAATATAGTAGTTATTTTGTTGATAGCAAAGAAAATACATCTAAAGGTAATGGAAAGGGAAGCTTAGACCTGTGAGGTTAGAGGGGCTTGTCTATCAAAAAATAAAGACAGCATACTGATTAAAGAGGTGGGACTAAGCTGTTATAATAAGAGTGTGGTATATATAAAGAAACAGAAATTCAAGAGTTTTCAGTTGAAATTGTAAATGCATCCAAAACAGATTTAAAAAGGAGGAATCTTTTGAAGTATCCAGAGGATATCAAGAGCACAGATCTTTTCCTAAAGGTAAGGATGAGCTGAAGCATTTGGAAGTGTTTCCTTGGTGTTAGAAATAGTTGAGAGGAAACCCGCTCCCACAGGGGCAGTCAAGGCTGTGTAGACCCTGGAGCAGAGTTTAGCCCTGCCCTAGAGGTCGAACTCTGTGGCCTAGGAGAGTCTTTTCAGCTCATCTTTTGTGGTCATCTGGCAAAAAGATGTTGCTTCAGAGTGCTTTCTGCTTTCTTTTATTCCATAGCTGCAAAGCCCAGAGAAACCTGAATTCTTTCTTTGCTATTGTGATGGGTCTCAACACTGCTTCTGTCAGCCGGCTGTCGCAGACCTGGGAGGTGAGCCTTGGGGGTCTACATGGGGTTGGGGGGGAGGGGGGTGGAGGCAAATAAAACTGAACAGGAGTTGTTCGAACAAAAAAGCCTATATTTAAAATGTTTATTTAAATGGTTTAAATGAGATAAGTACTACTAGGAAAAAATGTTAAAAATTAATGTGTCAAGTTGGTAGGAACTATTTTGGCCAAAGATCTTCCAAATGGTTCTATAATATATATGAAAGATAAAAATTGTAAAATTCTCCCCAGCTAGAATTAGTTTTCTGATCTGCTCCCGTGGTAGTGTGGTTCCACTTCCATGGTGGTCCTTTCAAAAGCTCACCTGCCTGAAGATATACGAACGAATTTAAGCTTCAGGGCCTCTCACTTGCAAGGCTTCTGGCAGTGTGTTCACATGGATGATATGTATCTTTGTAAAATTTGCAAAAGTACGATAATTTTGTATTTTTCTGAAAGAGGGCCCACAAAATGTTGTAAGTTTCAGGCCTCCCTAATCCTGGCTCTGCCTCTGTTAGTGTTGTACAATAAAGGCTGTTTGGGTTCAAAGATGGAGAGGCCCACTCAAGTTAGCACAAGTTCTACATGGACCCTAAGGATATATGTGAGAAGGACTGAAACTGGAGCCTACCTAAATTTAGCCAGACACAGATGTAGGGCTCTTTGCCTCTCCCATGACCCCGTCACCTTCTTTCTTTGGGCTTTTGTTTCTTTCTCTCTCCATTCCCTACTGACTGGCTACCTCGCTCCATGTACCATTTCTCTCCCTCATCCTTTCTCTTCAACCATCACGTCTTCTCTCTTATAGCTCCAGCCTGCATGTGGCTCACTGTGGTCTCCTTAGCCTCTCTCTAGGCCTCTCAGATTCAGCCCCTATCACTATCTGCTCCATTCTCTTCAGGGTTCCAAGTTCAAACTGCTGCAACAGAAAGTGATAGGCCAACGATTTTTTTTTTTCTTACACTAATTTCAGCATAGGTCTCTGGTCAACTTATGGATTCACTTTCTTTGTGTCTGGGGTCATACTCTGATGGAATCCACTGTGGTGACCTGAGGGTCAGAGTCAGTGCTTCTTAAAGGAATTCAAAAGAAAAGAAATGAAAGGCCCGCTCTAGTTAAGCAAACAAGATGTACACGCACATTATAAGATTAAAGGAGGTGGGCAACAATTACCACAATTGATCAGAGCAGGAGGAAAACAAATGACTAGCAAGGGTCAAGGGAGAGTGGAATTTTGAATTAACCTGGAAAGAAACTTTGATTTGCAAAAATTCAGAGGAGAAATAATTCAGTTAAATTCCCACAGCCTGCATTTTATGTGCATATTGACTGCCTACTATGTGCAGGGCACTGCATCAGCGCCGTGGCAGATGGAAAGTGGGTAGACAGTGTAGGGCAGAGTATGCCATGATGAAGGAGGTCCTGAACCAGTTCCAGTTGGACCACAGAAGAGCAAGTGGAGGGACTCATTCTGCCTCAGGTTAGCTGAGAAGACCTGAACAGCAGGGCCTTAGAGGTTAAGTTGGGAGTTGCAGGGGACACTGGGGAGAGGTGACCATCCCAGGCAGAGGGGACCACAGTATCTCTAGGCCTAGAAAGTGGTCTTACTATCCCAAATAGTCAATACAGGAAAAGAAGTCAGATTGAGGAATTAGAACAGAGGTCAGCAAACTTTTGGGGTAAAGGGCCAGATAGTAAATATTTTTAGGCTCTGTAGGCCAGATAGTCTCTATCTTAGTGACTCAACTCTGCCATTATAGTGCGAGAACAGCTACAAAGACTCTGTAAATGAATGGACATGGCAGTATTCCAATGCAACTTGATTTACGAAAGCAGGTGGTGTGCCAGATTTGGCCCGTGGATGACCCCTGGAGTAGATCAGTTTGGCTTTAGATATGTTGAGTTTGAGGTGCCATTGGGACATTCATGTGGATTGTTCAACAGACTAAGATATGCAGCTCAGAAGGAAAACTGGAATCACTTGCACATGTCTACATTTTATCTTTTCTCATTTGATTTGTCCTCCAGTCATTAATACCTGTGCATCTGTGTGTGTAACAGTAGTTTCCAAACAGATTAAACTACCTGTGTGCTATGATAAACTGAGTTCAGATTCAAAATTATCAAATTGAAAAGTCTATTTCCAAGTAATATAAAAGTCCAATTGTTGTGGGGTTTGTCTCATTATTTTGATTTGTTTTAGAAACAGAGAATTCCAGAAATATCTTCTGGAACATTGTCCCTAGTGTTAATAGCTGGAATTTGTTAAGCACCAGCTGTGGACTCTATACTCTTTTTATGAGTTGTCTCCATGTCAGTCAGAGAGTTTGGAGACTCGCACCAAACCCCACTGCTGGAAAGGGCAGAGTCAGAATTCAAATTCAGATGGGACTTATTACTAAGTCAGTGCAGAAGCCATCCAGTTTTTCACTTAACAGTGTTCAAGGCAGGCTGGGAAATTCCAGACCCTTCTTCCTTAGCCCTAAATTTTTATTTGGGAGGATGACATATGTTTCTGTTAGGGAGGAAGAGAATTCCTCTACCCATTCTAGGTCTTTCTGGCTGGTCTATGAATTAAATTGACATGAGACAGAATAACAGGAGAAAATCAAACAAAGCTTTATAACACGTATATGTAGGAGAGACCCAGGGAAACTGAGTAACTCGCCAAAATGGCCAAACTGCTAGCTTAAATATCATCTTCAGCTAAAGACAAAGGAGGATGTTGGGAGTAGTGATCTGGGACTTCAAGGGGGTGGAAGGCAATTACATGGAGATGGAAATGTAAATGGGCCAACTACACCCAATGTGACCTGAGAGACACTTTTTATGTCACATTCCAGTTACCTTATGGTATTAGCTCCTTCCTGGAACAGGACCTTCTGTTTCACTTCTTTTAGGCAGTTGGGGAGGAGGTCAAAGTTTCTTTTAGTCTTTTGTTTTTAAAAGTAATCAAGCCAGAGAGACACATTTTGGGGTGGCCAAGTCTGATCCCCAGATTTCCATCCTCTGTCGTTTTATATGCCACCTGTTGGTGTAGCTGATCTTTACAATTTAGTGATTCGACTCATTAGATTGCAGGCTTCATCATTCAGGGTTTTCATGGCCTTTCACTATTTAGCCCTCTGCTGTGAAACCTAATTATATCATTTATACAAAAATGTCAGCCAACCTTATTGTTTCCCACTCAGCAAGACTATTTAAGAAGATAAGAGCATTCATCAAAGGTAGGATATGGAACTGAAATCCAAGTTTTTATTAAAAAGTCACCAATGTGTGGAATGTCTAACCACCTAGATTCCTGAATCATATGGCTGTTATTTATTTTCAACTTTTTAGCAACATTCCCAATGAATGTTACATTAAGGGATGATGAAAATTGCATAATGAGAAGCAGTCAGGGTAGAACCAGACAGGGGAACGATTTGTGTTTAGAAATGTGAGACATGTAAGCACAACTTAATGAAAATTCCCTTTAGTGCCTCTCAAAATAACTGACTTCTTTAACCTTTTCTTTTATGTTTTTTGTTTATTTTTAGAAAATCCCTGGGAAGTTTAAGAAACTTTTCTCTGAACTTGAAAGTTTAACAGTAAGTAGTTGAGCCAAAGGAGACTTATTCTTCAAATTAATTGCTAGTGTCAGGTTTCTGTCTAGATTTCAGGGGTCAGTACCTGTGCTCCGCCATGTCAGGGGGCTTAGACTTGTTCACTTGTATGTGGAAAGGTAGCTTTGCTCCTCATGGAGAGAAGTAAGTTGACAGTAATGCTTCTTCCTCTCCATGGAAAAAGGTAGTGAGAATGGTTCTTTTGGTATAATTTTCAGAAGGCAGATTTTTAAGTATAGTCCGTTTCAAAGCCTACGAAATTAGTTGGTATAAATTTTGTGTGCAATGTGTGTTATGCATTATTTTCTCCTTTTTACCGTTTCTTCAATTTAGATACAAAATGTATAGTTTCTTTTCAGAATACAATAAAACAGAGTTCTCTTGTTTCCTCTGCATTGTCTGTGCATTATGAGGGCAGTTTTTCTTGGCAGTGTACCTAACAAAAGACTTTGGGGTTACCTCATGATAGAAATTAGGCAGAGGAAACGCTACTGAAAGGACCTATTTGAGGAAGATAATAGGGCAATCAAAGGGTGTCTCTCTTTTGCAGTCATCTCCCATTATTGTAAACCAATAACTTGACTTTCATTCATTGCCTAGATTTCCTGCCCTAATTTGGTGAGTTTATTCTCCTAGGAAACCTTTATCTACTTCATTCTTAGGAAGAACCCCTGATAGCTAAATCATGTTCAAATTGTATAGCAACAGTGGATTTAGAATTGTTTCTATAGCACATTGATTTTTCCTTCTCTTTGTCATCTGCTTTGTTTGGCAGGATCCTTCGCTAAATCACAAAGCCTACAGAGATGCGTTCAAAAAGATGAAGCCACCCAAAATCCCTTTCATGCCCTTATTGCTTAAAGGTAACAGTTTTCTCTCTTTTGTGCTGTGTAATTCCATATTCCAAAAATTTATCACTCTAACTATAGAGGGCAAAAAAAGGACTCTCCGTTTGTTTCTTTAAAGCAGTTTTGACATTCAAGCCTAACTGTGTTTGCTTGTGATTGGTCTTCAAAAGAGCAGTTATTTCAGAGATACCTAAAATACTTAACTGTAATTGAGTAGACATCAAAGCATTTTCACTTGACTCACAAAACTTGGCACTGGAAACGTGTGTTTTTATTTTACTCTGCTTCTAAGCACTATCTTATTTTCTTGGAGTTTACAATCCACTTAATTCAACCAAGAATAAGACTGGCATAAAGAACCCAAACGGTGATCTATCCTGCTCTGTGTTTGCAACCTAAGTTTCCGAGGTACAGCCCACGGCCTGCTGCTGTGTGAGAAGTACCTTTGGTCAACACGAGCAATATAGTGTATGAAAATTATTGGTAGAGATGTACTTTCTTCTTTCCAGGAGTGGAATCCATTTAGGAAAGTATGTGACAGCTCCAAGTTAGTCCACTGACTTCTCTTCTGTAGAGCACCAAATAATTCATCAAGAAACATGTTAGTTGAATTTACTAATGAGATCTCAGTGGTCTCTTTTAAACTAAGGGGATTAATGACAGGGAAGTTCTTTTTGATCTGGCCTACACTTCTGACATTCGGTATATATCCTACCTATGTGCTTTCCAGGGAAAAGGGATTTGGCCATTTTCTTGGGCATATTTTGATTCTTCCCAAGGGATTTTATAGGACGACTCTTTTATACAGGCTCTGCCCTGCAGAGGCTTATAACTTCTGCTGGGTCAGGCCCCAGTGATTCTGGAAATGAGTTACCTAGGAACTCGATTGCTGGTTGGCGTGGCCATCCTCCTGCCCCACCTGCCCCCATCGCCAGCCCCGCTGGCACTCAAGCTGCTCTTCCCTCTTCATCTTCTCTCCAGAACAACCACAGCTTGCAGAACTATTGAGTTGCTGTGCATCCCTGCAGGTACTCACTCAGTCTTCATCTAGTATAAAGCAAGAATCTGTGTGAAACAGTAATGTATTAGGACAACTGAGAGATGCACGGATGCTTCATTCAAGCTGCAAAGATTCTGCTAAATGTAAATGAATGAAATAAGGAGAGATTGTAATACCAAAATAACATTTTTAAAATTCATTTGATTCTTCATATTTATTTCCTTTTAAGATAAGTTTATTCAGGTTTATAATTTTTATTTGCAAAATAAATCACCTTCAACTAGAGAGTAGGGGTGGCAGGTGGGAAGTAACACTTAGAATCACACAAATAGGAAAAATAAGAAATGAGGAAAAATCTGGGAAAAGAATTGATTTTAGGAAGAAAAAATTTTGAAACAATATTTTTAAGGTAATGGGGAATTGGTTGATAATGTCCCTTTAACTTAATTAGATATAAGCAGAGCTTTCTGCTGTATATTAGTGGTTTTCCAAAAAAAATATTTAATGTAGTCAAGTGTCTCAAACTTACATCTTAGCTCAGATGCAGTTCTCAGTTTTACACCTCTTTTCTGGCAGCAGAACAAATTTTCCTTTTTTCTACTGAAAATACATTCATTCATTTGCTCTAGTAAATTAAACTTTTTGTTTTTTTCATTAGAAGCTTTCTTGAGTTTAAATAAGCATTTATTTTTCCTTTATCTTAATTTTTTGCCATCATAAAAATAAACATCAGTAGTATTCTATCGTATTTAAAGTTCCCAGTTTTGTCTGAAAAAATTTCCAAAGGAAAATAGGATGAAAATTTAAAATATGTAAGACATTTTGGAAAAAATAAACAACATTAATTCTTAGGTTTTCTTAACTGCAAGATTATTTTAAAAGTTGGAGTAAACTGGAGCCGGCCCGGTGGTACAGCGGTTAAGTGCACATGTTCTGCTTCAGCAGCCCGGGGTTCACTGGTTCGGATCCCAGGTGCAGACATGGCACCGCTTGGCAAGCCATCCTGTGGCAGGCATCCCACATTAAAGTAGAGGAAGATGGGCACAGATGTCGGCTCAGGGCCAGTCTTCTTCAGCAAAAAGAGGAGGATTGGCAGCAGATGTTAGCTCAGGGCTAGTCTTGCTCAAAAAAGAAAAAAAGTTGCAATAAAATATTTTAGAGCAATCACATTTTTAATGAAAACTCTTTTCCCCTCTTGTGTTGTGCCTCCTACTTGAGGTTGCTTTTAGTTAGAGAAAAAGGACCAAAGTGGACTATGTGAGTGTTAAGAAGGATCAGGCCCCCCCATGTTTCATTTTTTGAGATAGTCAATTCCCAGTAAACATGCAGATGATCAAGTATGCCCATAACCTGAGGATCCTTCCAGCCATCAGCTTTCCTATTTCCCAGTTGAATTTCTTGCTTTTTTATTTACTTTCCCCTCTACTGTGGTGTGGAATCAGGTAGAAAGTGATGAATGGGAAACCCTAAGTAAGTGTTGAGGAAAGGATCCAGCTGAGCTAAAGGTCAGACACAGCAAACTAGTCCATATCATTCAGTGTCTTTGGAGATGGGAGTCCCTTCCAGTAGAGTGAGCTATCAACAGGTGTTTGAACATAAACTGAGGTCCTCCTGGTAGGTTGTGTGTGTATCTTAGAGTGGAGATTATTATTGCATATCTGTGGGTGTATTTAAATAAAAGGGATGTTGGGTGCTTGTATGTTTCTTCCTCCTCTTTCATTTGCCATCTCTTCAAATGGAGTAATTTCACCCGGAAGTTCTAGTATATGAAGTGTTTGGAGTATGTTCAGGTGTCTCCAGCTGAAAGGGGCCGTGCAGGTACTCATTTCCCATGCTCTGAACCTGGTCGGTACTCTGAACTACTTCACAGCCCATGAGATCCCAGTTTCTGAGCTCAAATGCCCATTGGCTTATCTCCCTCACGCCTTCCTCATCACACACCTGCCGTTCAACTGTGTCAAAACCTTCAGCCACTTGAACTCCCTTCTCCAGGGCGGCAGCCCCTTCCAGCCTCTCTTCCCTCCCCATCTGGCCGCACATACCTTCCCTGCCTTATCCTCATGGCAGTATTAGCCTGACAGCCGCCACCCTCACTAGAGCACCCATCCTCATCAGCTAACCTCCACAAGTCCCTGAGAGCTGAGGTTAAGTGAGACCACCCGGGAAGAGGAGAGACCTAAGGCTAGAGAGGCTAGAAAGAGGGAGCCACGGAGGAAACACAAGTTGCAGAGGAGCCCATAAGCCGTAAATTCAGCAAGTTAACTGTGACTAGTTATAAGAAATGTCCAAGTCCTTTCAAGTTGAGGTACCTGAGAGGCACAGTGGTGAGAGAAACAGGCCCCCGAGTTTGAATCCTGGCTCTGACACTGGGCCAGCTGCACACGGTCTTTGGACCATAGTTTCTTCACACTCTTTCCTGCTAGGGCTTTCCCTTATAGTCTTTTGTGAGGATTCAATGAGTTAATGCCGTGTCTGATGCTGTTAATAAATATAAGCTGTCGTTGTCATCACCCCTCCTCATCGTCCTTGGGAACGTAGGCAGGGGATGATGAACCTTGTAACAGTGGGAAAATAGACCAAGTGACTCTGAGAGAGTGTTTGTAGCCGAATTCTTGGGAAGTTATGAGAGACTAGGCTTTTAGGTGGTGTTTAATGTAGACAGTGCACACAGTGCTTTATGTGGTATACAAAAAGGGAAAAGCTAACTGTTGACTGCTCTTTTCTAAATGTCACAGAATGAACGCCTGCAATTCTTTTCTGAAAGCAAAATCATGAAAGACAATAAAATAACCAGAGAATTTGTCAGATGACTGTGTCATTTTGAATTGTTTTCCTGCTAGAACATCAGTTAAAAAAGAAAAAGAGGGGCTGGCCCGGTGGTGTAGTAGTTAAGTTTGCATGCTCTGCTTCAGTGGCTGGGGGTTCGTAGGTTTGGATCCTGGGCGCGGATCTAGCACAGGCATCCCATACACAAAATTGAGGAAGATTGTCACAGATGTTAGCTCAGCAACAATGTTCCTCACATGCAAAAAAAAAAAAAAAAAAAAAAAAAAACAACTTAGGAAAACATTGCAGTCCGTACTGGAAGATGTGTAAAAGGGATGTCTTGAGGAAGGAGTTCTATCAGTTTATGATGTAACTAAGTAACTGGTGTCGCCCTCTGGCGGGCAATCAAAGCTCGGCAGCTAGTGTGTTAGAGGTGGGTTACCAGAGCACCTATCTTATAATTGCCCCCATTGAGAGCAGCAGAATCAAAATCTTGATTAAATGCAAATACTTTCCCTTTCTGTTTATAGGAATCTTAATCTGTTCTTTTCCCTCTTTTACATCAGGTTATTTTAACAAGATTTCCGAAAATTATTTTCATTTGGTTTGCCCTCTGTCTGTGATAGAACATGATTATTTGTATGCTCTTTAATTGCAGTATATTTCTTACTTTGATTCTTGTCTGTATAGATTCCCTAATGCTCAGTCACTGACCCTCTGATCTGAGTTTTTATAAATCATCCGCTCCCAGAGCTTCGGCTGCTGTCTTTATTGTAATTCCCAATATCCCTCTCTCTCAAGGAGGCACTCCTGTGTTTATTACAACCAAAAGATTTTTATTTGAATGTCTTCCGTCACTTTAAATGGAGTGAGGCCAAAACCAAATGTAACTTTCCCTTCCTCTGAAAATGTCCCCTCATCCTACTTTCCTTATATTATTTTCATCAGTGGTGCTGACTTTCTACCAGTTAAACAGGGCCAGAAACCTTGCCATTTTCAAACCTCTGCCTTTCCTCACTCACTTTCGATACACAATCAGGCACTGGATCTGAGAACTAAAAATCTAAATTTAAACATCTAAATCTTAACATTTTAAGTAAAGCAGATCCCATACACTTTGCCAGGGGTAGTTAAAAAGCAAACACATAAATATTAAAATCCTGTTGTTTCTGGGTACTCAGTTCTTTTCTGCTCAATGTTCAGGTCTAAAAACATAAGGGACTGGTCAGGTTATGGAACAGTGTTGGCTTATATTAAGCAGGTTGAAGTCAAACACTTCATTGTAAGTGCAAAATGTATACTTGCATTAATGTTAATCTTTTTTCTCACCACACACACATAAATTAGGCCCTTTCACATCGAATACACTACAGAGTCAATACTCAAATATTCATGTCAAAATGCATAGAATAATCCATAATGTTTAAGAAAAATGAATGTTTCATTGCATCTAGACCTCTTCAGCCCTAACTTATGATCCACTCCTAAAGGTGTCTTTTTATTTTTAATTTTCAGATGTAACATTTATTCATGAAGGAAATAAAACGTTTTTGGATAATCTTGTCAATTTTGAAAAGCTGGTATGTAAATTTCGTTGTTTCTCATTTTTCCCCTGTGTAAGGGAAATGTATGCTTTTCTCTCTTGCTCCAAGAAACAAATACTTTAAGCACTTTTTTCTGCTGAATCCATGTGATTTCCAGGAACTTATTTGCTGCATGTCGTGCATTGTCAGTAAAATGTATTCCAATTAAAAATGTGTGCCACCAAGGTTTTGAGAACCAAATATGAAAATCTGCTTTTTACTTCTGAAGATGGAACCTCATTACATTAACATCACTGTTTGAGAATATGTTGTGGCACTGGAATTAAAGCTGTAAAGTTGCTGTCGGGAGAGGGTCTGCATGTGAGGGAAGCACCACCCCTCTTCAGCCTGTGGACAGTGGCACCTCAGGCTGGCAAAGTGCCCTCCCTGCTCACGAGTAAGGGGTCCCAGGCAGTCCTTCCTCACAAGTTACTGAAATGCCTCTTCCTGAATTATTTCCAGGACCTTCCAGGTGCCTTGTCATGCAGTGGGCTCCTGTAGGCTTTCTAACTGGCCTGTGGCAGAGGAGGAGTTGCCTCTAAGAACTGAGCATCTGTAAAATAGGAGTGCTCCAAAGAGACCTGGTTGACTGTGGGAATAATGGGTGTCTGACAGATGAACTTTAGTGTCATGTATTAGGCTATCCTTCATGGTTAAAGATGATACCAGTGACCCCTGTCCATAGATCCTGACCTTTAAGTGACCTTTTCAGTAATGGTAATGGATTTGTGTGAACTCTTTCAGGAACTGACCCTCAGTTCCCTGTGAGACTGAGTCAGGCATTTGAGAGAAGGTCAAGTGAGGCAGGGGCCACAGACCGTGACCAAAGAACAGTACAAACTAAAGAGTCCAAACGAGGTTTGGCGTCTGACCTTTGCCTCCTAAGTGCCCTGCTCCAATTGTCAGGTTAACTCACCACACATAGGATGAGGCAGCACAGAACCCCTGTTCAACCTGAAAACCCAAGCACCTGGAATCTGGAAGACAGACATCTTGGAATATCTTGCTATAGCTCCGTTTTAACCACTCGAGGGTGATCACTTCATGGCTAGTTATTTTTAAAGTAAATATGTCTGTAACTTTTCAAGTCTCTCTCGGCACTAAGTGCCTTGGAATCAGAGCTCAGTTGTTTTAGATAGAGCAGTCAAACCAACATAGCTGGAAATGGGTATTTAAAAGAGTTGAGATTTTGTACTTATTCTTTTAGAGATTTGTTCTGCATCACTGTGTAATGCTCTGAAGATCACAGGGCACTTATTTGTAACCAAAGGCTGTTGGCGCTAACATTTAGTCTCTAGGCAGGTTAATCTCTAGTGTTTGATATTAATGAAATGACTACAGGAATATGAAGGCTTTGGTCTATATTACTTCAAATCCTGGCCAACACATTTGGTTAAGAACGCCAAATAAGCTTTAGAGAACATGTGTGAAGATGTGGGATGAGCTGTGTCACACCAATTGGAATTCCCTATAAAGTCTGGTAACTTTCCTTCTGACTAACCCAGAGGGGACATAGGAGAACAATTGTACTCTTTATAAGTAGACTGTTGTCTATTGTTAAGAGCAGACTGGTGGTTGACCTTCTCCCCAGAGTGAACCAGGGCTTTGGTTAACATTATGTCATTTCCCCTCAGATAGTTCTACCGAAGGGAGAGGACAATTCCATAAAGGCACAACTGGGAAAGAGCAATGGCAAGATCCCTACACCCTTCTCTCTTTCATTCTCATCAGCCTCTCTGGTCTTCCCCTGATTTTCCCAACAATCCAGTGGAAGCCATTTAATGCAAGCTAGTGTAGTCCAGGGTCTTGCTTGCATATGTGCCAAGACTTCAAACTAACTGTTGGGACTGAAACAGAGAAAGTCTAACTCATGGTACTTCTATTAGGGTCAATAATTGTACCCGTAATTCTTTAAGAAAGTTTAAGGAAATAACATACATAAATAAGTAATATTCCATTTTAAATTTTAAATTCCTGAAGAGAACTTGTATTAAAAAGACAACTAGAAGATGAGTGCAGTTATACATGCACACAGCAGGCCCATAGCGCACACATGCACCCTCAGGCGCTTGCTAGCACATCATTTCGAAAGTGAGCAGATTTTGTAGTATGAGTGAATTCCCAGTCCTCAAAGCAGATGGCACTTAAGACACAACACACCTCATCCTGACCCCTTCCTTGCACAGAGAAGGAGGAGTGAAGTTAAAATTTTTTCTAGAAGGACAAAAATCTATTGTACATTGGATATAGCCCTATGTTATACTTGGATGCCAGAGAATGAAACTGAATTTCCTAGTAGAATCAGTATTTTCAAGGAATGTTTCTTAGCAAAGGACAGGGTTTCACTTAGGCTAAAAAAGGATCATCTTTCATAATAATGAACCAATAGAACCTAACTGAATTAACTTATGAGAAGCCAATTCCTCATGATGGATATTAGCTTAAGCCAGCTTGCAGATAATTCAGTGTATTATCTTTATCTGGCTGATACAGGCCAACACATTAAGTCAGATGACATGAAGACCCAGAAGCGCTCACTGGGTCTAATAAGATTCCCATTGTTCCCTATGCTGCCTCAGCAACTCTGAATGTTTCAGTCTCAGACGATTAAATAATGAAAAAACAAATACTTCCTCCTTTTCTTCTCCTTATCCCTCAATGTTAAATGCATCACCTTTTACCACACCTTCCCCCAGCCCCTTCAGAAAGCCTGAAGATGAGGATCATGACTCAGGTTTCAATACCGCACTCAGTACTGAGCCTCGAGTCAGCTTGAGCCTTGCGTGAGCTCACAAATGGCGCATGATAGAAATCAAGTGATGCCATAGCTTAAAGCAACAAGAGAACTGTTCTGGGAATAGTGGTAAAATTTGGGGAAGGAAATTTAACAATACACTCACAGACAGGTCTCATTTCCTTTACAAATGCAGCTTGAGCCACTGCTGTAAGCACTGTCCTATTTAATTTTCCACTATTGAGTAGAAATATGTTAGAAATACAGTTGTGAGAATAATTTAATAAGTAGGTCATATTCAAATAGTTTCTATAGTTCTGCCAGATATTAAGTAAAAAAAAAAATGAGTATTAACATTATTCTTTCAGCAATAGTTCATTGAGGGTTTGCTGTATATGGATGAGCCTGTGTCCACTGGATGTAAGCAGGACATGAGAGATGACAGCCCATTTGGGGAGGTTTGGAGGACGAGATACTGAATAATGTTGATTCTTGAATAATAGGATGACATTTGGATCTTGATGTGAAACAGAGTAGAGAGTCACTGTAGACTTTCCAGAGGACTAAAGCATGACGACAGTGTTTGGAGATTATTCTGGCAACTGTTTAGGAGGAACAGTAGCGGTGAATGGTCTTGTCCTAAATGCTATCTTTCCTTCATCATGGAAAACTGAAAATGATGGAGTTAGAAGACTGTTGCAGGACACAAGTATGAGGTGATGGGGTCTTCTCAAAGCAGCTGCGGGTTTAAGAAGACTGCCTAGAGATCAGTGAGAACTTTAAAGAAAGAAATTAAAGTTGAATGCTGAAGACTAGAAGGGAATGTAAATTACAAACAGAAAACAGTCTCTGTAAAGATGTTGATGTTTTAGAAAATGTTTATCTTTCACGAATATCTCATTTCCTGTCTCCATTGGAGATTCTTGAGTCTTTGATTCCACAAAAATTCCTATCTCCATTCAGCTCGTATGTGTGAGTCAATGTGTATGATGTATGGTAGGCTGAGCATGTGACGTCCTCTAGTGGTACCTGGTCTAGAGGAGGAGAAAAGTTCCATAGCAGTTATGACAACACAAAGCCAACATGTATTGCACAAAGAACAGTGGGGATGTTAAGAATGGAGGCTCTCAAGTTCAGAAGGAAGATCTCAGAAAGCCTTCATGGAGAGAAGGTGAAACATCCCTGAAGTGAAAAGCCTAAGCAGATTTGGACAGGTAGCTACCGGGTGGGAGTGCTGAATTTATTCACAGTGTGTTTTCCCAAGGCTTAGTTAGAATCTGTGCGACCGGGTCTGGGAGCCACAGTTTCCACAGACAAGGATTAAATATTCTCTTGTAATCCAAGCTCAATATTATCATTTAAAGTTCCAGCTCCAAATATAGCTTTTCAGTTTACACCCGAGGGTGTAAATATCCTTCCATCATAGCAGGCACTGTTACTTCAGCAACACCCTAAATGACCGTTCCACTGATACGTCTCCTGCTCTACCTTCCAGCATATGATTGCAGACACTGTGCGAACCCTGAGACACTGCAGGACTAACCAGTTTGGTGAGTAATTGAAGTCGGGTGTGGAATGTAAATTTACCCTTCATTGGTACAGACTCTGCCCATATCCCAGGTATTTGGTGGTAATAAATTTGAACCTGTGAAGTATGATATGCATATTGTATGCATATACTATGTTCTCTCTGTTTCATCACTGCATGTTTGAGATGCAGAGGAAGAAAAGATACAGCAATCTCTATCTTCTCATGGCAGAGTGACTTTAGATAATCAGAGGCTACCCACCCCACCCCTGACCCAGAAAGTCTTGTTTGCTTGCCCATTGGCTCAGAATTACCAATGGGTTTACTAGGGATGACCCCATCCCTAACCTCCTTGCTTGGAGCCTTCCTGGAATAGGAATATAGTTTGAAAAAGTACCTAAAGCAGCCTTCCAGCATCTTTCCTCTGCAACAAAAACTTCCCGTCTGGAGGTGCCGTTCACTAAAGTATTTTTCTGAGCATTTGTATAGACTCCCCACTGAGACTAATGTATGTAGGAACATTTGTTCCTTTTTAAATTTCAGGCATAATTTATACTATGTTTAAATGGTGTTAAAACATCACAGGAAGGAAGGAAGTCAACTTTATTGAGTTCAAGGAGCTTTAACATGGGCATTGGAATCCTGACACCAGTATTGGTGATTGATGGTTGGAGGTTGTTAACCCTGAGCGTGCAGAGCAGGAAAGGAGGCTCAAAGAGGTTAACTCATGCAGCCATTGTTTAGATCGAGTCTACCTGACTTCCTGGCCCCTACCCTTTCCTTTGCTTATGTGGATTCTATTGACAAAAAGGGCAATAAAACAAAAAATAGAAAGTTGAGTTTAATAATTACAAATCAATCAAAGGTGACCATTAAGTAAAACTTACTTTAAGTAATGCATCATTGTAAAACAGTTTTTTCAACAAGATAGCATGTACATAAAGTAGAAAAATCAAAATCCCACTTCCTAAGGATAGGTGCATATTCTTAAGAATTGTTTTTCTATCTTGGCTGGCAATGTTGTCCCCTAACAAAGCAATTGAACTTCTGTATGAATTACAAAGTTTCTGTTTGAAAAGTAGAATTATAGGGACCTAATTTTCCGAATAGTAACATCAATTAATACCATTTGAAATGTGCTTACATAATTCTCCATTAAATACACAAGTACAATGCAGTTATAATGGAAACAGTGAAATTAACATTGTCATGGAGATTAATTCAAATGTACAAGCATAATGTTGCTGATGAATAATGGGTTCATATTTATTTCATCCTCCTTTGGTTCCCAAGTATTTGAGTACTCAGCTGATTCTAAGACATCAGTCTCATTTACCAAGGGGCTCTGGTTTATGTACCCTGCAAGTGTGGACAGGAAGGTTATACTGGCTTGGCTGGCCTTGACCCTCTCTTGAACCTCCCATCACCAGAGAGTAAGTCTGCATAGCACAAAACAAAGGAAAAATGTAAATAACTAGCAGGCCTATTTGTATTCTATGTTTATATATCTTTTAAAATTGGATGTAGGACTGAATTATCTAAATTCTTTTTGACAGTTTATATAGGCATGGTAAACCAGTAGCAGCATTTGGGGTAAAATGAGATATTGTTAATCAAGCCACTCATAAATTATAAAGTGCCATTCAAGTGTCAGTTGTCAGCCATTCATTCTGACATCTTTTTAAGGCCAAAAAATTAACAACAAAATTATCTTTGTCGCATCGTGTTTTCTAAACCAAAAGCAGTCTGATGTCTTCCTAAGAAGGCATTCTATAGAATAATACAGCTTTTTGGTCACTTTCAAGCAAGTGGGACAGGAAAAACTTTAACTCCTGGTGCTTTTACCTTGTGAAAGCAGGAAACCTTGTGTCTGGTAAACTTAAGAATTACAAGCCAGCCATGACGTACAAGCCTTAAATTATAAAATGCATTTGCCATGGGGGAGGAAAAAACGGGTTTTCACCAAGAGAAAAAATTGTTGCATTAAAATGCTCAGCCTCCCACGGGCCCCATCCTTCTGCTCAAGCTGAGCTCCAGTCTCACACCCTGCTTCTCCCATCTGAAATTCCAGGAAGAGGAAGCACTCACATTTACATTGTCTCATTATTGTGAGACAGACATTATTGTGCAGTTTAGCCAGTCTCCCAGTGCCTTGAGGTTTTGGGTTCTTTTTGTTTCGTGGGGGGTTTTTTTGGATTTGGTTTTTGACTATGGGAAGTGGGCTTGCCCCATTTGCCACATTGTCCCAGCTACTTTATCTCTGGTTCCTTAGCATCCTGTCACCAACATGGCACATACGTGTTCACAGTGCACTAAAGCCTTGGGGGCCCTTTGATTCAGTAACCACCCTGGATTTGGAATGGAAACCCCCCTTGCCTTGTCCTCCGCTGGGTAGATGTTAGCCCATCCACAAATTTTTGGAACCTGCTTTGCCTGTTAACCATACCTTAAGTTCATTTATGTGAAATCTGTTCATTCAATTGGTCCCTTAATTTTTTTTTTTCAAAATCTTAGGACACCAAAGGATCATACAAAACCTTAAATAAAAAGGGAGGGGAGGAACTATTGTGTCTGTGCGCTCACCAGCGTAGCAATGATTTCTGACAATAGCAGACTGAGATATAAGAGTGAGTGAAAGCTATTTAAATGGGCAATTGCTGTGACGTGAGACTTCAGACCATGGACTCGGAGACACGTGGCCTAGGTTCCAGTCCTGCTCTGCCACTTGCTTGCTGTGTGTCTGTGCTGTTTGCCATTCTGTCGAGGGGGATGATAACATGATCACTAAATACTAATAATGTTAGGTCATAAATGCTATATAAACGTTGGTAAAACAAATACCTTACCAGTCTAATTACCTGACCTGAGGAATCTAGTCTGAGCTGAACAAGCATCTCCACTGTTAGAATAAAGAAGTCTGCTGGGATTCTGACTAATGCGCGTCTACCTGGTAGATTTACTCTAAGCCTCAATGTGGGCTTTTGCTGGTGTTTATAAATAGCATTACTGCTCTCCTGAGATCGACTCCTTTTTTTCCCTCCAAAAAATAGGAAGTGATGTGTCTCCAAAAGAGCACCAGGAGTTGAAATCCCATGTTAATCACCTGTACGTCATCGACAGCCAGCAGGCCCTGTTTGAGCTCTCACACAGGATCGAGCCTCGGGTGTGAGCCCCCGCCCCGCCGCCTCCCCTCCCTGTAACCGCAGCACTTTGAGCTATGGGAATGTCAGTGCCAAACACGTCGCTTTCCTGTGAGAAAAGAAGTTGCTGAGTTTTATCAGCATATCACACGACACACACAGGAAAGCCAGCCAAAGCGTGCTCAGGAAGTGATGTCAGCCACCGGAGGTGGGGAGAGGCCTCCCCACGCTGCTCTTGGAACAAGAAGGCAGAAGAAGAGTCAGAAGCATTCTTGAAATGGAGAAGTCTGGTCTCTTAGGGTCACGTGGTTGAGCCAATCCAATTTTCAATTTGAGATGGGCCAGCATCAAGACAAGAGAACATGTCTTGTCATACAGTGACCAAATATTTCAGTAAAAGTGTGCATGAAACAGGGAGACGTTTTACTTTGCCTGGTAGAAGATTGCTGTTTATAGGCTGTCAAAGGAGGAGCTCATTTGAACATCTAAAGACAGTGATGGCATCTGTAGATTTCCAGGGAGAAGGAATGGTCTCTGTGGATACAAACTATGACATCACCAAAGCGACTTGTGTCTAGGGAGTTAGTGAGGACCAGCAGCTGGCATCCATGCTCTGATTTCCAGAGGAAATGTCAAGGCATGCATTTCTTTGCATCCACAATCACTTATCCGTGTACGCTTGCAGGTGAAATTTGTTTCAGCACAACTGATTTGCAACTATAGGCAAGTTAGACTAAGTTGCTTTGCCAATAAGGAAAAATAGTAATCTTTAAGAAATTGACTCACTGTTTAATTTCCAGGGATTGTCTTTACATGTGCAAGCAGGCTCTCATCTCTTATTGGGAACAATGTGATTTTTGAAAAAGTACAGTGCCTGACACATTGTAGGTACTCAGTGACTGTTTATTGGGGTGACACAGTCACAAAAGTCTGCATTCTTGTGCCCGACGACACCCTACTGTTTTGCATGACTCCAGCAGGCTCCCTGCCCACAGTGTGGAATGGTAACAGCCAGCACAGGGAGGTCAGGTGGGTTTTCATGTGTGGAGCGCTTAGCACTCCCTAGAGAAGAGCAAGGGCTCAGGTAGCGGGGACTGCCCGTCTTCCAGCAAATGAAAAGAACCCTGAATATCCAAATGTCTGATTTACACTGGACACTTAGAAGTCCTGTCTGTAGTCCACCTCCCAACCAAGGCATGGAGCCTTTCCATAATTTGTCATTCTTTTCAAAGCCTCAGAGTCTTTTAAGTCTTTTTTATTCCCATTTTTACCCATTGGGGCTCCTACAGTAAATAAAACCTCTTGCTATTCTCAAGAACTGGTTAGAGGATTTCCCCCCACCTTCAAATGAATAAAAAGCCAGTGGGATACAATGAAATCCACCCCTGCCAGCTAGATACTCGTCACGCTGCTAGAATACAAGGGCCCTGCTCGTGTATTAGGTCCCTTCATTTTCCACTCGCGTGGATCCTGGTGCACTTCTCCCCACTCCTGCCTCTGCATCTCTCAGGTGCCCGTACAGAACTGCTTCCTTTTGTCTCATCAACACCTCATTTCTGAGGTGTGTCTGATGCTTTCTGGCACCTAGATAGCGGTGCTGTTTCCTGGGCTCGGGAAACACACTGATTTGGAGAGAGCACTGGAAGGAACTGTGTCTGGCACGTAGAACTTCATTCCTGAAAATGAACAGGGTTTTATAGAAAGGCACCATCCAGGGCTGGTCCCTCAGAGAAATGCTCCAGGCTACCGGGAATGGAATGAGACCCACTGGAGGAGGTCAGAGCCATCGGAACCAGGGAAAACAGACTTCTCTCCTGGCCAATCAAACACTGGACCAGAGCCCCCCCCCGTGGCGATTACTAGACATAGCGTGGGCTTACAGCACAAGCATGTGTGCTGGTCTTTTCTCTATGCTAGGGAGAAGCATTTGGCCCATCTAATCATGTAAGGCCATTTTGACATTGTCTCTTTGTTTTACAGTTTAAATTTTTATTCACATTAGATTTCCATTGCTCCGACTGGAACATTACTTCTTCAGGACTAATTTTCAACGGAGAACTATTTCAGCATAGCACCTGCTGCTTAAACCTCCTTCAAATATGTACACGGCCAAACGAATCCACACATGCATCATGTTTAAACACATTTGGATGGTAGTCAGAGTATCCTGTGTGGCGTGGGTGGAAACAGGCTGGGGAGAAAATGGTGCTTGTTCACTGTTACTCCAGCCGTGGTCTCGTGGCTCTCAGGCAGCAAAGGGAAAGGAGGATTTTCTTTAGATTTGCTTTTCCATCCCTGTCTTCTGAATGTCAGAATCCTTCTGAAATTTAACAACTGTCTCCAGAGATTTCCCAGGCAGCAGCTCTCAGAAATTTCAGAAACTCTGAGAAGACTTAAATCTGGAATTAAAGAATTCCAGGCAGAATTGTGGGGACCAGATTTAGCTCAACAGGAAGCTCTTTCCAGCAAATCTGAGCTGTCCAACAGTGAACAGGCCATTGCAGGACCTAAGCGGCTCCCTGTTAATGAAGATGGGCTGTATTCTCTCTCCAGATATTTGTCAGAGCCTCTGGAATTGGTTTTGTTCTGGCTAGAAGGGTGGACTGGAAGATGTCTACGCTACTTTCCGGCTCTCTTAGATTTTTATCATCCATAAAATCTCCACTCCCTCTGAGAATCTTCTATAATCTGCCATCTTCACCAGTGAGGTGGTGCAGGGGCATGTCTAAGTGGCTTCTTTTTGCTGCAGCACAGCTCTCAGACAGTCCCGCAGGTCTTTGGATCTGTCAGCATTCCAGCAAACCAGCCCTGCTTGGAAGTTAGCACAGGACAAGTTCCTGTAGGCAAAATCGCAACCTTTCTGAATTTTTTTTGCCATATACATTTGCAGATGCTCCAAAGGGTACAGTGTTGTAAGTTCACTCTTTGTAATAATCTGTACAATTGCCAAATGGTTGTAGTGATATATATTATGGCCTACCTTCACGTTATTCTAGTACCATTAATTATGTTTAGAATAAATTCATTTTCCTAGACTCCTATCCACAAGCAAGTCAGGCAGAATGTACATTGAATTCAGAAGTGTGAGGATAAAGTAAAACCCACACCTCCCAGCTGGTAGGGCGAAGATGTTGCACTAATGTATCCTCGCCTCCACAGGGGGAGAAACAGTTGCATGAAAGAGTGGGACCGTGACTTCTGATGCCCGGAGCTGGGCTTTTCTGTTGCCCCGCCTCAGCCCCGTCGTTCTGGTACAGCCATCACATATGCCACAAATCCCAAACTTAGTGCTCCCAAATGGCACAACTAACCCAAGCTTCTCAGAAACTAGGCAAAAACATTAAAACGGGGCAGACCGGGTCCGCTGCAGTTGTGTAACAAGGAGTTTCTTTTAAATGCTTCAAAGACATGTCCTTAAAATTTCAGCCTGCTTATTAATGAGTGGGCCATTGTGCTTCAAAATAGTAGTGGGGGAAGAAAAGTTTTTAAAAGTTGCCAAAAAGTTAGATGAAAATGTACTACTGTATAAAGCAAAGCTGTATATACTAAACATTTTTTAGCAGAGTAATATTTATTTGCATAGCCTATTTATTGTATTCCTATTACACTGTTATTAAAAACTGGGATGAAATCGATAACCTGAAGTAAAGACTCTTGCCTTTTACTGTATCATTAACTAGGACTGCTGTGACATTGTCAGCTTGTGTTAACAATTAGCATATAGGAAACCTGCAATCAGGGCGTCTACCTAACTTCTCAGGGACTACACTTCGTAGTTTTCCACCATTATAAGAGCTGGTAAATATGAAACATTTGTTGAATTACCAGAATTGCCATTAACAGTATTTTCTTTCTCATATTTCTTGCTTTCTGCTTCTGTATATATGACTGTGATGTGTATTTATCGAAGCTAGTAAGCAATAATTTATATGTAAAAATGGCCAAGCAATATAAGGTGAAAACTTATATAAGTCACTGTTACCTTATCTTGTATTTTCAAGTGTTTTTTTAAAACTGCTTTTCCAAATATAAGATGTTGAAGATACTATTCATGCCTCGTAGCTTCTTGCTTTGTCTGTGATGCTTGTGGGCTACATTGCCTCTGTTCCAGCAGCGTATTATGCTCAGTTGTTTGGAACTCGGAAATTCTTTGCTCCCTGAGAGAGCTACAGGTGGGTGAGGAGATTCTCAGGCAGCCTGTAGAAGCCTAAATCACTTATGCTGCCATTGAGTTATTGGAGAAACCAAACACCCTGTGTTGGAAATTGCAACAGTATTCTCATATTCTCGGGTTTGGGGATGCCAGCAGCCCCTGTCACCCACTTGAGTAGGACCAGGAACTCTCCCTTATCAACCCAGATACTGAAGGAGGCTCCAGGCCCTGACAGCACAAGAGCTCTGGGTGGGATGAGAAAGCGAAGGGGTCCTAACCATGCTCTGGGGAAGTGGGAAGACTAGCTGTGTATACACTATGGCAGGCTGTATCACTGGTCAAAATCTCCACCGGTCTCTATGCGGGCATTATCTATCCTGCCTGTTGATGTCAGACTTGGCCTTTGCCATCTGGTAATCCCTTCCCGCAAGAGGATTCTATATCTCACCACGTTGAACTCAGGAGTGGCCACATGTCTTGCTCTGTCCAGTGAAAACTGGGGAGCAGTGACCTGTGCAGCTTGTAAACTGAAGCTTTACGAGGTGGCCTATGCCTGCCAGTCTCCTCTGCCATGAGACCTGCAGTGTTCCAGGTAAAGGCACCTCCATCCACCTGGTCTCCAGCTTGTGAAGCCTGTGTAACTTGAGTGAGAAATAGCAACATTAGAAGCCACTGAGATTCAGGGGTGGTTTGTTACCTCAGTGGAATTTCTCCTAAGCTGACTAATGCAGTCTCCCAGGACACTTCTTTCTTGATAACGTGTCCTTTCAGTCCACGTGTGGGCGATAGTCTTGGCTTTGCACAGTCCCTAATGGGAATCCCCTGTTAACACACATCCATGCAAAGGGCTTGTCTTCCTGTGACAAAAGGTAAAGACCAGAAGATGATTTTCTTGGGCTCTTAATCACCAGGAAGTGGCCCTTCTGTGAAACAAGGGAAAATGGGGAGAGAGAGCACAGGGGGTATTGCCTCTAAGACAGACAACTGGGGAGCAGAGAGAGGAAGACCACAGGGCTTTACCGCTTTTGTCCTGGCCTGTAATCACTTCATCCATGGGGGCAGCCTGGAGTCTGGAGCGGTGCCGGAGAGGAAGGGAGAGTGGAAGCTCTAGGCTCCAGCCTCGGAAGGCAATGGGAGAAGGAAGGAAATTCCCATTGCTTCAGACACTCGGGGGTTTTCTTCACTGTGATTGCCCATCCTGGAAAGATGGACGAGGCTCCTGTGGACTCAGAAGCCAGTTCTTGTTTAAATTAGCAAACTTCCCAATGAATTTTCTGACCCTGGCCCTGGTGCGCTGGCTACAAAATCCTGTTTCAGGGACTGAGAGCTCCATGTCTGGTCTGGCTCCTCTTTGAGGTCTTCTCGATCCCAGTGAGCCGCTTGTGTATTTGCTTTCCCTTCACTACTTTAAACAAACAGCATTCCTAAAGCTGTAGACTTGCTCATTTTTTTTCAGTAAAGTGTTCCTGTTCCTGAAGGCAGCACGAATGTCCCTTACCTAACAGAGGAGCAGCCAGCTCCCCTTCCTGGCCCAAGAAAGGTACTCCCAACAAACAGGGCAGACCTACCGTGCAGGAGCGTGGGGTCCCGAGGGCAGTCCCAGCGCAGGGCTCCGGCGTCACTCAGCTTCTGGGGACACAAGCTGAGATCCCTACTCCAGCCACACCCAGAGCTGGGTCAAGTTGTAGCTCTTGATTTTGTTTCTCTTATGGTGACTCGCTGTTGGCTCAGGGGGAGCTTGACCTACTCTTCAGCCCGACTGTGGCTCCTAGATATGCCTTCCGTCCCTCGGGCTGGGGCTTCTCCCAGGAGTTGGGTTAGGGTTCCCTCTGGTCAGTTTTTAGGGCATTTCTGCCACAAGGTCATTTCAGTCCTCACCATGGCAGTCCCATAGTAAGCTCTGCAGCTACCCTTGCAGCCACCTTCTGAGTGTATGGTTTCACCCCTGCTTGGAGGGAAAGGAGCTTCTGGGTCATCCTCAGAGGGCCCTGACACTCCAAGGTGAAAGCAGGACAGGGGCAGCCTGGGAAATATTCCAGGCCTTTCCCTGCTGCCTAACTGCACCACCTCGCAATTTATTTTCTGCTAAAATCCAACCATGTTGCAGGTCTTCTTGACAGGCTTAGGCATTTTCCCCTAGGAAGAAAAGAACAAGTCCCCCTGTTGTGGACTCCCCTCCAATATCTCGGGCTGTTTCTAACATCCCCAGGTTTCCTACACAGAAATAGGGAGGGTGGAAAACCAGCCGCTCCGGACTGGCCTTGTCTTCTCCCAGGAAGACCCTCAGGCCACCCCAGCTGTGAGCCTTGCTGCCCGAGATGCTACCATGGGAGGTAGGACTGAGTCCTCCTCTCCGAAGGCCCCTTTCCTGCTCATGGACATTTGGAAGTTTCCGAGATGTCTGTGTGTGGTTAGAGGCTGTAATTTCTAATCAGAATTTGAATAAACATAGCCATATTCTGAGAAAATCCCTGCAGTAGATGCTTTTTTTGGAGTCCTGCTCCCCTCCCCCCCCCCCCCCCCCCCCCCCCCCCCC